ATTTCTCCTAGCCTTCTAGCTACTACTACTTTTCTCACGGAAGAAGAAGAAGAAGAAGAAGAAGAAGAAGCCAGATTCTAAACGGAATTCACCGCTTTATACGATCGAGAAATGATGAGCGATCATCTGCCTCGTCGGTGAAGATTTCCCGGGACGATGGGACTTGGTACAAGATCCATAGCTACCCGGGGGAATCCATGAGCCAGCTAGGCGCCGATTTACGTGCCTTCATTGTTTATGAATCTCTTATTCCACGAAAGGAAAGGCTCTCTTTCTCCTTTCTCATTATTTATGAATGTATTCGCGAGCTACCGTTCGGCAGTCGAGTTGGATAGGCAGACTCGTAAATCAGATTGTTGGAGTTCACCGTTGGAAGAATAAGCCAACGAATACCAGATGCCTCTCCCGATTCCTTCGGCTCGATTCGATCGCTTCAGCAACCTGTCACGGACCATAATATTCCCAGTCGAGACCTCGCGACGTCCAATAATGGACGCTCAGGAAATCGAGTGAATCGAGTTGAATGGAAAATTGAATGCCAGAAGATGTTCCTTCGAGTGAATCTCTGCTGCGCTACACAGAATTCACCAGCTGTCCTTCGTTTCACCTGAACGATTCCACTTCCACTTCCGGGGTGTCCCGTTTAAATGTTACCACCCGAGGGTAATCGATTTTATTGGAAATCGTGACAAGCAGCATTTTAGTGGACATTTCGATGTTGCCTCGAGCTAAGGACCAAGGGAATCGTCGAGGAGCTCGCTATCGTTCGATCTGCCACCGAGTAAAATATGCAAATAACAATCACCCTGCCGGAAATGATAGGTGGAGTGAAATTAGCCGGCGGAAGCGATGCTATCTCGCACCTTAATCTGCCACGCTGTTTTCCAGCCTGCCATCCGTAAATTCTGCTCGCCGTCTTCTTACTATACGATCCTCGCGATCATTTTTTATTCCTCTATGTATAATGGATAGATCAAGTTTTCGTTTCGAATTTGTAATATTTCTTGCGGTTGGTGTAAGCAATTTGAAAAGGATCGAAGGAAGATTTTAAGGGCTCGTTAACGAGCAGGACATCCCGAAGCGGGCAGCGATCGCGGCACTAAGTTTGCGGGTAGAGAAGGCTACAACCGTGGAGAGCCATTAATTTAAGCAACGGTGACGTCTCAAGGAGCATAAATCTGCATGTTCCGGTAGCGATGCGCGCGCAGGACCTTTCTACCGCGTCCAGGATGCGCGATCACGATCTTACGATCATACCCTCGCGGAGTTCGCATTTATCTCGCCACAAGGATCGAATTTATCTACACAACGGTGACCCCGCTTCAGGAAGCAACCTCTGAAAATCGATCGTATTACTCGAGAATGCGGTAAAAACGATCGTCTCGTTGAAAGTTGAACAATTTAGTGACGGACATCTATGTTTCAGAGAACAATGAAGCAATTTCAGATTATCGTATATAGGTATCCGTTCGATGAAAAAGAAATTCCAATTATCGGGCATCTGAAACACGCACGAAACGAAGCAAGAAGGAAAGTTTTCTCGGTTAAAGAGCGTGTAAACGTAATTCGGGGGAGAACCCGAGCACGTTTTTGCGGCAAGTGGTGATTTTCGGTGCCGCAGGACGAAAAGACCGGTCTCGTGGCTGGATAATTGATTCTTCACGGAACCGAAGAAGATCCCATCGAGTAATTGCGCGGACGGATCGCCGCGAGAGGTTCGCATAATCCGAACACAGGGGTTGGCCCGTCGTGACTTTGTAATTAACCGCCGCCGAGAAATCCCTGATTCTATATAAAATACCCCTGATCTCGCTTAATGACGAACAATTTACCGAGATCGCTCGATTTAATTAAAACGACGAACACGTCCTCGTTTCGTACATCCCTCGATGCACGATTCATATAAAACCACTATGAAAATGGTATGAAAAAGCATTTAATTGGTACACTTGGTCGAACGCACAGTAGCCTCAGTCATCCCCACATCCCAAACACGTTCTCCTCCTCCTGACATTAAACATTTTCCGTTTCCCACAATTTTTCTAATAATTCCACTAACAGCCGTTGATCGCATGGATATCATTTGAACGAAGAACAGCAGAACGGCCAATTTGAACCGTCGATAAATCGTCGATAAATCGTCGTCCGACGTGCTGTTTAATATTGATGATTCGATCGGTCCCTGGCCCGGTCCGGCCCAGCAATAAGCCCCGCGATCTTTGAAGCGGGGTTCGTTACCGGTGGACGAGCGGGACGAGTTAATAAGGAGGATAGATTCACCCGAGGCGATCCCCTCGACTGTGGACGATGTTCCAAGGATACGGGGGAACGCCTCCGCGAACACGAAGAGTGCATTTGTTACAGAATCATTGTGCCTAGTCACGAGGTACTGGAACGAAAGCCAAGACAAATGGAAATACGTGTTCTACGCTCGGAGGACTGTGATTCACGAAGCGATTTCCACCAGCCACGCTAGAAGATAATCCAGAACACCCCGTAGCTTTTATATAACAAGGACCGGGATAACAAAACGGCTGGAGCCGCGATACAAGGCTGCCCCAGTCCGTGGATATCAATTATCCTGCTATTCGGAACAATTGGCCGAGCACCAGACCTCTCTCGAACTATCTAAATACTAATCGTCTGTCAGAACCCTCTTAATTATCCTCTTTTCATCCTATACACAAGTAAATCGAAGGAACGTCTAAGAGTACGTGTTCTGTACTTGTGCCTTCTTCTTCGTGGAAACTTACCCACGGATGTAATCGAGATGGCGCTGATTAAGCAAGTTACTCGTAATAAAAAGGAGGCCGCGAACGAGCTCGGCTTCCGGATGGTGGCTCGCGGAACGCGATGCCGGAAGCTAGAATCTCAGCTGGCGGGGGCCTTGAAGAGGGCCATAGAAGATCCCCTCGAGGGAACTCGTCGGCCAAGTTTCTCGCTCGTTTCGCCAGCAGACCGGTTGTGACGTAAAGGTCAGGGTTCCGTGTGCACACGACTTTTCCTGCGGGTGTAAACCAAGACAACGCCGCGCGAGAAGTTCACACGCCTTCTTCCAGCCTGATGTTCTTCGAATTATTTGCTTTTCCTACTGTTCGTGTCGTGCTAGCGGCACGAACGCTTCGCACGAGACAGTGTGTTCTCAACGAAGCGAAAGGTTGATCGATTAACTCGGAAGAGGAACGAGAGCAACAGCCAGGACGCCGCGAAACTTGATGCACGGAAGGAAGTCCGAGACAGATCTAACCCACGCGTCGAGGAAATCCCGGTCGAGGTGTCGTATGACATGTAAGGATTCCAGCTCCGTGGAAAGAGAGTTAAGCAACGTCGAACGGTATAACCAGGACGCGAGGCGACGCGACGCGTTCCTTCGGTGACCACGTTCTTAGAAGGACCAGTGTTCTCAAGTGACTCTGAAGAGAGAACAGTTTCACTATGCTGCACCGCATCGCGCCGGATGAAATCCCCTGTTCTTCTTCGAGTTTCTTTCGCTACGACCGCGGTTAGAGCATTAATCTTCGTAACAGTGCATCAACCCGTTCGCCAAGTGAACCGAAGCGCATTCCTCATTGTTAGCGAGAGCGCGCGTGCACGAATGCGCGGCGAATATCGACCGTTCGATCCTTCTTCGCTCGAGAATTATCGGTGTAAGAGAAGAACCGACGGTTCGAGGATCTTCTGGTAACCTTTTTGGTAATATCAGCCGTGAGAAGCGACGAGCGGAAAGGTCAGGCCGAAGGTTTGAACCCTCTGTTAGGCTCGATGACCTCGAACCGAGGTGTCTTTTAGCTGATCCTTCTAACGCGCCGTTATCGCGTTACCTTCCTTTCAGCCGAGCAATCTCGCGTTATTTACGCGATGCCGCAATTACCGGAAGGCACGCGGTACCACACGAACGTCCTTTGCTTCTATCTAGGCGCAGCTTCTCTACTTCCATGGAATCGTGCAAACAGACGACCGCCTGTACCGAAACTCTCTACTCCCGTTCCTTATCGTCGCTATCAATCACGGTAATTACACAAGGAAACTTCCATTCCGAACGTATAAATTAAAGATATACACGTTCGAAGCGATAACCAGCTTGTCGCTAACTAACTGCGACTATCGTAAGATACATAGTAGGTGCGCCGGGTGGATCGTTCAATCAAGAGCGGGAGTAAAAACGTAAAACAGGTAATGGGAAGAAAACGGTTGATCGCGCGAAAGATCGAAGAACCAAGGAGAAAAGGAAGAAGAGTTTTGAAAAGAAGCTGCTAGGATGTAGAAGATTGAGGGGAGCTGGTGTAGAGGAGCAAAAAGCGAGGGACAAGCAGAAGAAATGCAGGAAGTAGCTCGGCCGGTGAAGCAACGCGAGCAAAAGGTGCGCGGGAAACCGGTGACTCGCGTGCTTTCAGCTTGCACCAGCGAATTACTCGACCAACCGCGGCCAATCTTCAGCTTCGGATCCACTTTTAACGCTTTGACGAACCCACTCCATTTATTTACCGACACTACCTTCATCGCGATAACGAGCTATCCAACCACTAGCAAATAACGGCTCTTCCTATATGCTCTTCGTTTTAAGTTTACTCTAAATTATACGAGAAAATGCGAAGAATTTAAGAGGAAAAGCAAAGACATTTAAAATTGACTATGAAAGTTTTAAGATTACAGGGAACGTATGGAAACGTGTTATTTCGCCGACAACCGAGTTATGCTTGCGGAACTTCGCTTGAAAAACCGTTTCAAATGCACGAATGTTCCATTCCTCCTGCGTGAGCGCGGAATTCATTAACACGTTGACTGCCTAGTATGGCATATACGATACACACACCTTGTTAAATATTTCGATACATTTACCGCTGAGATATTTTAGCGTCTATTCAGAGGTAGCTCTGTTCATTTATTCGTGGCAGAGGACGTTAATGATCATCGCGAGCAGTGAACAAGAATCGAAAGACACGATTCGTGCTCCGAATCCAATTAAGTTCCTAACCCGAGATTCGTTGCTTCTGTTACAGATGGGGTCGTCTGCGATCGGCACGATGGCGGCTGTGGCCACGAGCGTGACGTTGATGACCTTGATCTCCGTCTCTCAGGCAGCCCTGGGTGAGTACACCGTACGAGTAATTAATGTAACGACGATATTACCCGTGATAATCGAGAGACGCGTTTAACTTCCGTCCAGAAATACACTCGGAACAGGTCCTTCCAGTTGGTTTTTAAACCACCCCGTGATACCGTTTCAGCTAGGACAGCGTTCGAGAAGTTAACGGACTACGACTACCGTGGAACGACTTATTACAGCGTGAGGAACCTGTCCTTGTACGAGTGTCAGGGATGGTGCCGGGAAGAGGCTGAATGTCAGGCAGCGGCGTTCTCGTTCGTCGTAAATCCTCTGGCGCCGATGCAGGACACCCTGTGTCAGCTGCAGAACGAAACGGCCGCGACGAATCCCGCGGCCCAACCGCAAAGAGCCGCGAACATGTATTACATGACGAAGCTCCAAATCAGATCAGGTATGTAGATCAAATTGAAAATCGAGAGTTTTCCCTACGATCGTAATTTTTCCATAACACCGATCCCTCTCGCTCTCTCCATCGGGTTGTATTATCTCCGTACACCTGCTCGAGAGATTCGACCTTCGACAGCCTAAACGGTCCAGCATAATCGAGCCACCAGCACGACTTCGTTAATGAACGCTAATACCCCTAGCACCTCGCGCTGCACCCTGTCGTTAAAAACCCTTCCCTAGCCCGGTCGGAACAAAGACGAGGAGAGCTAGCAGGTCACAGAGAAATTCTGCAAGGGATGAAATGAGGATGGAAGAAGAAGGAAGAGAAGGCGCGGTAATCCTGGTTTAGGGGCGATAGAGTGGTGAAGGAGCAGGTAGACGTGCAAATAAACGGGGAAGCCGGTAGCTTCTTGTTCGAGAGGAAGCTTGTTTGATTTAGGCTGAGTTGTAAACGAACCTGATATCGTGGAAATGGTATTTGAACTGTTTTTCTAGCTGTGTGCAATAAACTTTTCCAATTTCCCGCATCGAGGCGCTTTGATATAAGGAATAAAAATGACATATTCGCACAGTGAATATATATTTTCACGGTTTGCGAGCTTTTCAAATCGATCGGCCCGAGTTCCCGTGACAAAAACACAAAGGGCGACCGGTTCAAGGGACGGGGGAAAAGCGGTCACGGCTATTCACCGGTAAGAAAGTATACAATTTGCCAAAGAGAAGGTCCCAGGGCGGTGGCAAACAATGAAGGATCTGCTGGTACCCATCGGATGGTGCGAAGGGCGCTTTTAAACTATGGTTTTCGGCATAAACAGGTACCTGCAGGGTCGTGCCGAAGGTGTCGAAAGGATCCCAAGGGGGTCTAAGAAACCCCTAATATTGGTTTAACGAGCCTGCTGGTACCTTCGATCCTTCACACCTAACGCCGGTCGTTCGTAAAACCTTGGGTCACGCTTGAAAGGGCCCAACGAAGGACTTCGAGGAAGGTTTCCGTTTCCATGAAACGTTCGATCCGGGCACTCGTCCGGGCGTCTGGTTAAAAGTACAAGATCCTACTAAAAATAAGTTTCGTTTATTTCTTGCGAGATTGAACATTTGTCACTCTCAGCGACATGTTTTTCCGTTGCAAATTTTCACCCGACGCGTTTCCACCCTTAAAATAACTCGCAACAGACGAAACAGTATTCATCGTCATCGAGGTCTCGACTTGTCGGGAATTCGCATGGCCGCAGCAGTTCTTCAGGGTTTGCGCGTCGAAATTTGGCTCGCTCGAAATTTTACGTAATCCTCGTCCCGCCTTCTGCCGGTCGTTTTAATTCGAGAAATAAAACAGCCCGTGGCCGGTGATTAATTTTAGATGCTTCGCGAATCCAGGTGAAATATTTCCAGCGGACAGAAATCGCGGAACGCGCGAAAATGAGCAGGATATTTTTAAAAATTCTACGTATAGAATAATATCGATGAGGAGGAATTCGAAGGAACGATGGTGAATCATCGGTGTCGGTTCGTTGGCACGATCTCGATGGACGTCGACATTAGCGCCGGTTTCGAGGGCGTAACAAAAGAAATTGGAACGCGATCCCCTGTCGTCGGGAAAGTATAGCCGTTTCTCGAGCCAAAGATCGGCGTGCTCGTGCGTCACGTCCCGATATGCCAAGTCACATGTTACCTTTGCTCGTGATTTTCGGCAACGACCTCGCATCCCCGTCCACGCGCGTTCACCGCGTTCGCGTGATCGGCCAACCGAAAAATTCGCCACACTTCCTCGGATTGACCGGATATATAACTGTTCCTCGATCGACGATCCATGGCTCGAATGTCTGCCTACGAATGCCGACCTTCTTTTTCGTCTTTCACGCCGTTCTGCCTTCCTCTCTCCATTCATTCTTTTTTACCGGTTATTTCGAGAGCCGGAGAATAGGAATTACCACATTTTACAGCTATCAGTCTTCGAGAAGAAAGAAACGAGGCGACCTTGAAAGAATGTTTTGTACTTGGTACAGGAGATACGGCATGTCCTTTTCAAATCTCGAAAGTCTGTAAAGCGTGGAAGCGTTAATCACCCATGGGTGACGCTTGAATTTCAATAGGAATCCATCAATCGTATTATTAGGAATTCTTTGACCTACTTAATTGGAAATATTTTAAAGATTTGCGAAGACAAAAGTAATTTGTTAATGAAATTTTCAACGGCTTTAGCGTGGCGGTCAAAGTGTTGAAAATGAGCAGGATCGCTAGCTCCATCGCTATCCACCTCGGACGGTGTATTAAATTTCTCGAGCGTTGGTACACAGGTGTTGGCATATATGAAACTCGGGTTGCATGCGCTAGCGTTTTACGTAACTGGTCACTCCCTTGCCTGCCGCGTACGCTTCGTCAGGTGTGCAAACGTCGCGTCTGCGGTCAGGCGTATCCACGTGCCATGTCCCTCTATAAACGAAAACATTTCGCGCGTCGTCGAATCATACGACCGCGATCAAGTCGCGTGCAAGATGCTTTTTTTTCGAATCGAAAAGAAGATCGTTTATTCGTGAGAATAAAATGAACGTTTCCTTTCAGAAAACGTATGTCTCCGTCCGTGGTCGTTCGAACGAGTCCCGAACAAGATGATCCGCGGTCTGGACAACGCGTTGATCTACACGTCGACGAAAGAAGCTTGTTTAGCCGCTTGCTTGAACGAGCATCGTTTCACCTGTCGTTCCGTCGAGTACAATTACGTAACCCTGCAATGTCACCTGAGTGACTCGGATCGAAGAACGACAGGCCAGTACGTGCAATTCGTGGATGCCCAGGGTGTCGACTACTTCGAAAATTTATGCCTGAAAGGTAATAACAGGAGCGACGACGAGGAACCGCGTGCGAGCTTTTAAAAACGTCGATTACCATTTTCAGGAAAGGAAGCTTGCAAGTCGCAGAGAATCTATCAAATGCCTCGAATCGGCGTTGCCGATGACAAGGTTGCGCAGTACGCAGGATTGCATTATTACACGGACAAAGAGCTTCAGGTTCAGAGCGAATCAGCGTGCAGATTGGCATGCGAGATCGAGAACGAGTTCCTTTGCAGATCTTTCTTGTATCGAGGCGCTCCTCAGGGATCCGCCTATAACTGCCAGCTATTCCATCTTGACCATTGGACTCTTCCCGATGGCCCTTCCACCTACCTGAACGCGGAGCGTCCTCTGATCGATAACGGTGAAAGGGTTGGAACGTACTTCGAGAACTATTGTGAAAGTAAGACCCCGTCGCCTTTTCCCCCTGACTTTTCCTTCATTCTCTTTTCCGCGAGAATAAAGATCTGATTTACCCTGATATTTTCCCTCAGAGGGAACAGGTCCGGTCGCCGATCCGCTTCCGGTCGTTTTCGAAACCACGGAAGATCCTACGATAAACAATCTAACTAGGAACGATATCAACTGCGACAAAACTGGAACCTGCTACGATGGTACGTGTTTCCCCGTTAAACTTCGACGTTCTTTATTATCATAATCATAATCGTAGAAGATATGATTTCAGTGTCGGTGGACTGCAAAGACACTCGAATAGCCGTTCAGGTTCGCACAAACAAACCCTTCAACGGTCGCATTTACGCCCTGGGTCGTTCGGAGACTTGCAACATAGACGTTATCAACAGCGATCTCTTCAGGCTCGACTTAACCATGAGCGGTCAAGACTGTAACACTCAAAGCGTGGTACGTACACGATCTACGTAGATTCGTAGATCAAACGATCCCGCACTCTGGCCTCGTATCAGCTTGAGTCGTTAAATTCTGCTGAAACTGTCTGTTCACCATCGCAGCGTGACGGTTTTCAGACTGGAATCTATTCGAACACGGTCGTCCTTCAACACCATTCCGTGGTGATGACCAAGGCCGATAAGATTTACAAAGTGAAATGTACCTACGACATGTCGTCGAAGAACATCACCTTCGGAATGATGCCGATCAGGGACCCGGAAATGATCAGCATCACCAGCGCGCCGGAAGCCCCGCCGCCAAGGATCCGAATCCTCGACAGCAGGACCAGGGAAGTCGAGACTGTTCGCATAGGGGACAAACTCACCTTCAGAATCGAAATCCCGGAAGACAGTTAGTTCTTGCTCCAATGTCTTCATCCTCGTCTCTTATACGATTCATATTTATTCTATTCTATCTTTTCAGCTCCCTATGGAATATTTGCGCGAAGCTGCGTGGCTATGGCAAAAGACTCGAAGAGCACTTTCCAAATCATCGATGACGAGGGGTTAGTCACTTCGAATTCCACACTTAAATCAAACTAAACAAGATTCGTTAATTATTCTCGGTTCTTTAGATGCCCTGTCGATCCATCAATCTTCCCCAGTTTCACCCCAGACGGAAACGCACTTCAGTCCGTCTACGAGGCATTCAGATTCACCGAGTCTTACGGCGTGATCTTTCAGTGTAACGTCAAGTATTGTCTAGGACCCTGCGAGCCGGTAATATAACGAACTGCAAAGCGATTTACCTCGTTTTCCTGTACAAGATACGAAGAAACGCGTTTGATTGCAGGCTGTCTGCGAATGGGGACGAGAATCGGTTGAATCGTGGGGTAAGAGACGTCGAAGAAGCATTACAAACGCCACGGAGGAGAAAGCAGAGGACATGACGTTGTCGCAAGAAATTCTGGTTCTCGATTTTGGAGACGAGAAACAGTCGGAGTTCCTGAAGAGCGACGCTAGCATAGACTTCAACGAAGCAGGTAATTGCTAATGGAAAACAGATTGGACGTCCACGTAAGGGTTCAGTTGGAAAATATCATAGCGCGTTTAACCATCGTGTAAATTACAACCTGTTCCAGATAAAACAGTGACCATAGTGGAACCATGTCCAACGAAGACATCCGTCTTGGTTCTGGGTGTGACGTGTGCTCTTTTGGTGCTCATCTACATTTCCACGATCTTCTGCTATTACATGAAGAAATGGTTGTCGCCCCGTAAAATGATGCCCTGAAATCTTTCCGTCCGCGACTCGATATCCGGTGAGGCGATGGAAGTAGCTGGAAGGAAAAACTCTTGGATCAAGTGCCTTGAAACAGAGCCGCGTACGCTCGCTCGTGGAAAAATTGCGACTTGTCTGCTGCCATTTGCAACATTACTCACGGTTCGCGTGAAACGTGCTTCCGGGAAGCAACGCGTCCGGTTTTTCCAAACGAGCCGCTGGCAATCGCTCGTCGAGACGATACGATTTCTGCTTTGTCGCGAGATTTCGCTCGTAATTCGAAAGGAACGCGTACTATTTTCGCGTCGAATTTAATTCTATCTTTTTGCTAACAATTCGCCTCTCGATCGAATCCCAACACAGATGCCCTGCTTAGCCTTCCGTGACTCTAAGACATAATTTAAAAAGCAAACTATCGCCGGGTGCGAGAAGGAAAATCAGGGGCATCTCTAAAAAAAGAAAGCTTCGGTTCATTCGGAGATGTGTGCACGGCGAAAGTCACAAGTTGCCGATTGTGCAAGAAGTCGTGAAGGGGAATTCTTTTTCGTCGGCGATGTTAAAGCGCACTCATTATAGAACACTTTAAATACAATATAATTTTACACAGCGGCATTTAGCGGTGATCGCAGGTGACGATGAGAGTCACGTCGCGTGAACGCTTGTGCAACGCTCAGTTGAGGATCGATTTCGAATACGACGATAGGAAATAGGCGACGTATCGCTTTCAAGAATATCTTAACAGGACAACAGCTCTTATACATTTTAACACGGATCTTATTTTTTTTTTCTTTCTTTTTTTTACGTCTGATCATTCTACTCATTTTATGACAAAATACTTATCGTGCATATCGGATCTTCTCTAGATCGCAACGGGACGAAGATCGCAGGGATTTTGCGTGCAATATACAATTTCGTGGCGAGTCGCGGAACGTTTGATTTTCTCGAGGACGATGAAACGATCGGTTACGAAGAAACAACTTTTCTCCTCGTATCGAGAAAAATACATATTCATATCAATTGATATTAGATCGTTGCAGATGAAATGGCCGATTTATTCGGAAAACGTTTCATGGTTTATTTTGAACAGTCATTTTATACGAATCGGTAAGCTGAAACTTTAAACGTTAAGATTGAAACTGACGTGGTATAAATGTTATTTATTTTTATTTATTTACGAAATCGGTCATTTGTTATGCAACAATCCGATACATTCGACTTCCATTGCTTTCGACTGAACACGAATTGTTCCTCGATCCGCGAATCGCTGGGTTCTTTCTTTTTTTTTCTGTACGAACAACCAGGGATATCCTGACGACAAACGTTGTAATAAGTACACTTTTTATTTAAGGACATTTTTAGACACTGCTAACGGTCTTATTCCCTTAAAAGGGCTACTTCTGATCGGGTTGCAAAGAGAGCAAGGTGATACGAGCGACGCTATATCTATCCTCTTGCGTCGCTCAATATGAAAACCACCGCGGATCTTTCCAAATCGTTGCCGTCCGTGATAAATGGCCGCCGCCCCCCCCCCCCCCTTCCTCTCCCTTTTTCGATCACACGATCGTTCGCCACGGCCCTGCTCACCTTTTTCCGCGGAAATCGACTTGTAACCCGTATCAAGACTAGCGATATTTAAAGGTTCACGCTTCACTAACGTCTCTAACGATACAATTAGCGTTTAAGGTAGGAGATAAACGGAACAGCATGTAGGCATAGGTAAAGAAGGCGAGAGAGAGTAGTTTTCTTTCTTTTCTTTTTTTTTTTTAATCACGAGAAACAATCTCGATTTTAATAACGGTGGTACTTTTATCCATATCGTTCGCTTTTCCACTCAACGGACGATTACAGTTATCAGGTGCATAGGATAAAGGTGGGAGATATGAACGTACACACTTTCATTCAAAATCATAGTTTTTTTATTGAGTGAAATTATTACACTTTCTACAGTAGTGGTCATTTGAATTAGCTTGTTAAATTAAAAGAATCACCCTTCGAGGGTGATCGCTTTCTCGTACTTAAAAAAAAAAGGGGGGTAAAGGAGCAACAGTTGCAATAAATATAACCAGGTACTTAAAAAATTTACATTTATTCGTATCTTAGACTGTTTCTGACTGCATTTACATCGGTATGAAATGGATTCTGACAAGATGAAATAAAACAAGTGTATATATAATTGGATTGCAGTAGGTGTTCAGAGTGGAGACACAACATACACGCATCAATATCACATGTATTTGTACTCTATTTATGTACGCGAATATTTTAATAATTAAACGAAGAACAATCTCGATAGCAACCTCTTCCCTACTCTTATTTTTCCTCGTCAGGCAATTGTGTTGCACCGAAATTGATAGCTGCATACCTGGTTGCCTACGCAAGGGTTAACGTGCCAATCATAGTGGCAATGAAATTCGTTCGAAAACATTATTGTAGATCGATTTTGCTGTACAGCCAGACACATAAACAAATTGTATCGATTGGTCAACAGCCAATACGCGTTTCAATCTTGTGATTAATTGATCTATGTATTGGGACGGGTATTAAAGATGCACGTGTTTGCGTTTATTATTGCTGCAAGTAATAATATGAATCACTTGATACGCTTACCGTCGATGAATAGTCAGTTGACTTTAGATAAAAACAATTGCAACACCTTCCTTTAAAAATAGATAGCCGTTGCAACTGGTCAGTGTATATTTTTATGCTCGCTTTGAAATGAATACAAATCAGTTCTTTTTCATCAATTTTTGATACGTATAAGAACATGTGTCTGGCGATGACGAATCATGCTTTAACGAGGTTTCAAAGGCTAGCGTTAATCGATAATAAATTCAACGAGCTTAACTGCTCCCGACCCTCGAAGACAACGGTTATCTGGACGATAAATATTTTCAGTCACTCGTTTTGCAATACCGACGGAACGACTGAATTATTTTATTGGTAAGAAATATCTGCGGCCGCATTTCATACCACGATAGATCTAACAATGAAAATCATTGATCCAAATATGTATTGTACATCTAACATTAATCGCTAACCGTCCTAATGGTATTTGAGTGTCGATAAAGCGAACCGCGGATAATACAGCACTTTTTAGCGGATCCTTAATTTTTTACCACTCGGTCGATAAAGTGAATCGCGGTAGTATACCTCGTCGGGGTCAGGGTGTTGACGCTACGTAACGATTTCGTGCTTGAATTCAAGGTTTCCGCAGAAACAGGGTGCGAAAGGATGTTTAGTAGTCGTTTCGAATTAACGTCATTCACCACCGTCGTTGTCTTTCATCGTGCCAAAAGGCGAAACGCATGGCAACCTCGTCAACCTCGATACGCCTTCGCCAATGATAAGATAAAGGTTAGCATGTGTGTATGTTATTCCGCGGTGCTGCGAACGTGGGCGTTGTTGCATTTCGCTTTATTTCTATGCACTTCGATCCTTGCGTTCGCTCTCGATAACGTTTCTTCTTTCTACGCCTTGCATTTTTCTTCGTGCCCATTCGTTCCCTCTCCTTTGCCACCTTCGTATCGCTGAAGAAAGCAAAAGAGAGGGACGGATAATTGTGCTACGCACGTATCGAAATCGTAGCTCGACGAAACGATGCTTTCGTTCCGCGAGGTTAGCCTCGGATTCGCAGGTATGCACAGGTATGCACGAGTAGGCGCCATCGTGTGACCGCCCACAGAGAGAAGGTATATTTCTGTATTCGTACGTGGGCAAACGAGCGATGCGACCAACTGTGACGCTTAACCTAAGTACGTAGTGTTCATTTTGTCCAAGAAGCTAGAAATGCTGTTCTATTTGCTAGACTTTTCTAATATTCTTTGATACAAAACGAAAATTTAGTACGAAACTAAAATCGACGTATAGAGTAATTACAAAGTGCTTTCACTCACGAGCTAGTCGTTAGTCATTAGTTATTTAAATTTTCTGCGGTTTCTTACGTATATAAATTACCATTTACCTATCCGATTAGATACAAAATGTAAATGCATACAGAGACATCACACACAGAGTAACGGAACGCTACACGCTGGTGCACGTGTGGCGCTCTCCCAGTTAGCATGTACATAAATAAACTTAGGTTATATAGCCGAGCCCGCGATTTCAGCGTGTGTCGTTCTTTACTCTGGACAAAAGAATGAATACGCACTCTCGAATCATTTTTCCGTACTGTGAACGACTGCTTATTATAGTTTAGAGCGCTTAAAAAAACTATGATCTAACGTTCGTTCTTCGCCGTTTCGATTGCCAATCCCCCCCAAGTATTGTATGGAAAAGATAATTGCAACGATCCATAGGTATTTAGATCGTTCGACGAAAACACAAAGATATGCGAGCAAAGTATAATTAGCTGAATGAAGCAACAATGCAAGCTTTGACAGCAGTCTACTTAAAACACATGTAACAAACTCGTGTCGTTTGTTGGATAGAAGCCAATAACACGAAAACTTTAACAATTTCAGAAGCAGACAAGATTCGATCAATCGGCTCGACGACCGCTGGTATCATAGGCGACCGCTAGTCTACCAAGAACCCCTGGACTTTGCTTCTACAAAACACGAGCAAACCAGACAAGGATAACGGAGAGGGCCGTCTAATGCACTTTTTCCCGGGAATCGCAACCGCTACGCCCTTTTCTTTTACATTCGCATTCTCACGTGCTCTGGTCGCACAAGTAAGGTAGGTAAGGGCCACAGGAGTAGTATGGCACAGGACTCAAAGGTGAGGTGTTGCAAGTCGTGGCAGTGGTAAATAGAAGTGCCCTGTCTCGCTTACTCTTACTCTCGACAGTAGGATTCTATGCTTCGATTGTCGTGTACCCACACATACCAGTAGGTTAAAAGAGAGCAAAGAAAGCGAAGGCTACGAAACCGAGGCGAACAAACATAGGGAAGAAAGAGAGAAAGAGAATGGTCGACGTACATCATTTGGGCGCCGAGAAGTCTGGCGCGACCAGGCCAAGCCAGGCCAGGCCAGAAGCGCGTCTCTGGTTACGCGACCATTTGGGGCGCCAACCATGGAACGTCGAGGAGAGAGAGAGGAGCAGGAGGTAACGCGGATAAAAGGGAAAAACCATAGGAGGGCAAAGAGAGAGAAAAAGAGGCCCCATGAGGGGTCAGTGGAGTCGTAGGTAGGCGTCCGAGTGCGAGCCTGAGCGCGGTAACGGGGAGGGGGGGATCGCGTAGGGTGGTGTATAGACGATGGAAAGGAGAAAGAAGAGACGCGAGGGGGGAAATAAGGGAAGGGGCCCCTGTAGGCTACATTCCAGCGGGACGCGAGTTTTCAAACATGGCTACCCACGTGAATGTAGGTCCACGACCGATCCTATAACACGCACACACTCGACCTTAGCAGCTACAAGCTCGTTTCTTCTTTTTCTCGTTTTCGCGTTTCTCTCCGTTTCTCTTTAGTAATCTGCTCGAACGATTCCCTCCCATAGCTCCTTCCCCCTAATGCCTGCTCCGTCACACGCTTATACAGACACTAACCCACAGAATCCCCTTGCCCCTTTGCTCCATCAGGTTCATCTCCTCTCCCCTCGCAACAACCCGGACGGCCCGGCCGACCGAGCTGGCGACACCCTGTCTGGCAAGACCGGCCGGCGGACAAAGGAGGGGGAGCCTGGCCGCTGCGTTGCCACGTCCTCGGACTTCGGGCTGCGCCTACCTTCGGCCCCAAGGACAAATCCGATGAACGTGCCAGCCGTCGTGGCGTACTTAGGCGACTGCCGGTCTGCTACCGCTACGGCGCTTTCCACACTCTTCCACACGATATGCCACTCGCCGCTTGCCACTTACCGATATTATTCGACGTCTACTCTTGTCTCTTGCCTCTTGCCTCTTGCTCTTACGCTTGTTACGCGAAAGTATAACAGCACAATTACGATCGCTCGATCGTGATTCAGTGTTGTTCAAGCAAAGATAACCATTATCATGATTTTTGATAAAGTCGAAACGAAATCCATTCGTTTAAAGATGGCCATGAGGAATACCTGAAGAATGAGCCATGCTCGTAAAACTATGCGAAGGTTAACTCGCGTTCAAAAGGCAGGTACCTTTCGTCACAACGTTTGCCGATCATCGGATGTATTTAAGAGGGACTTGGAGTCGGCACAATCGACGAAGCAAGAATAACCAGCGAGTTTCTTCGAAATGCAGTAGGGTGCTCCTTCGTGGAACCGCAAAAGAATCGGTCGGGTCTCAGTTTCTGCTGGTGGCGCAAATCGTGGAAATTTACGAGGCCTCGCTCGTTTCTTTCTGCGCGGCCACCTATCTCTCTCGTGTCTCAAAGCATGTATATACTAGCACTCGGCTTGCGTCATTGCTCGCAGGTCTTTCTGCGTCCGTATACGTTGCGGCCTACGTGCGGCTGAGCGACATGGCAACCGCGCGTATAGCTAAACATATTAACTGTCGGCTCACGCCACAAAAACAACATGATCTCATTCTACTATGTATATGCAGGGAACGTGCGATTTGCTAGCTCGCTTCGAAACCTCATTCAGTGATAACTGGAGGATAAAAGTTGCAAGAAACGAAAATAAGAAAGGCAAAGAGAGCAGGAAATAACTGACCGACGATGACTCGTAACGGTAAGCCGTCAGAATATGTTGGTAATAACCAGCAAGAACAATACAGATCGCATTACCCCACCGAGGCTATAATAGGGACAACTTCAACCCTAACGAGACTACCAATACCAGTAAGCTGACACGGCCACGGGTGTTTTTCTTGGAAGGCAAAATCCCCTTGCGCCTCGCTAGCCTTCCCTTTTATTCGATGCCAATAAAATTTCCTAGACACGACGGTCCTCGTGTTGGCGCTCGGTACGGAAAGCTTTCAAGAATTGTACCGTATGCGAAACCTGACGTAGCTCTTCAACGATTTAACCTAGATAACACGCCTAATCTCGGCGAGCGAGCGAGAAAGCATCGTAACTCGAGTAGTGTTTTCAAATTTTTTTAGCGCATTTACGATCCATTCGATCGCATCGAGCCGCTCGACGATCTACAGATCGAACGTAATAAAATTCTGCGTAACATATGCGAGCGTGCCGAGTAGGCGAGAAAAGGCACGGTCGAGCAGCGGAGAAAGGCGAGCAAAAATCGCGGCTCCAAGCTGGCTAGGACGGTGAGCAACGAGCGAACGGGCAAGCAAGCAAGCAAGCGAGCAGGCAAGCAGCAAGCAGTCAGACGAGAGCGGCAGACAACATGGCGCCGAGAGCGTCGTCACGCCGGCGTGACGTTTCCCGCGCGCGTCATTAACGGAAGTGAGCACACAAAATGGCGGAGTTTTACGGCGCTGAGGTGTGAAAGGGAGGAGAGTACGGCAAGGGGGCAAGAGGGAGAGGCGGGTGGGGCGCCTACGGGTGCGGGCAGTCAGGCAGGATGACGAGAGCCGTAGAAAGAGAGGAGTTGGTGGAGGTTAGGTCGGTGGCGCAAAGAAAGAAGAATGACTGGTGGCCGGCAGCGGTGGACTAGCGCCTGTATGACTGTGTGTCGAGCGGGTTGCCGGGACGTCGAGGGGCGCCTGCTGGATAGAGAGAAAAAGAAAGAATGCTCCGCTCGAAGCGAGGAAAGAAAGAGAAAGGTTGAGAGGTGGCCGAATAAGTGGGGGTAACACGGTAAGAGACGGTGAGTGTGACAGCGACGAGCGAGGCGAGGGGTTTTAGAGCGAGAGAGCGAGTGGCGAATCGTCGAGAGGGGAAGGGAAAAAGCGTTTCAGTGGGAAGCAGCCGCAGTCCTCGCCGATGGTGGGGATGAAAATTAGTTACGGCATCTACCAAGACCTAAAAGGAACTCCGTGCGCGGCGCGGCCAGGCCACTTCGTGCAATGTTACGCGTTAAGGTACCCCCGTGCGTTGTTGGCAGTACCCGGTTTCTAAGCTCATCGTCGTCATTATCGTTACCGTCGTTCGCGTTCTTGTTCTCGTTTTCGTTCTCGTTCGCGGTCTTGTGCTCGACGTGACGGTCATCGTCACGCTGCGAAACAATTCGGTACGTGAAAACACACTATGGCTCATGGCGTAAGCGAGGTGCTTGGTGAGGGAAGCACAGTGAAAATGGTGCATCAGAAGCAGCAACAACAGCAGTCGGTGCATCAACATCAGCAACAACAAAACGCGAAAAAATCTGTCGGTGTGATGGGAAGTAGACGCATATTCGCGCCGGCCTTCAAGCTCAAGGTTCTCGATTCGTACAGGAACGATATCGACTGTCGTGGAAATCAACGAGCCACAGCGAGGAAATACGGCATTCATCGACGTCAAATACAAAAGTGGTTACAGTGCGAGGATAATTTGAGAAACAGTTGTGCCGAGACTGGAAATAATGGAGTGGTCACGACGACGGTGATCTCTGCCGCGGGTGTTTCTAAGGCGGACGGCACCGTGTCAGAATCCACGGGGTCCGCCGTGACTCCAGCAGCGCCGGCCTTGAACCTCAGCCTCGCCAGACTGCACGGCGACGAGCTGGCTACACAGCAAGGGCCCCCACCTCTTCTTTCTCGTCCTCCTCATGGTAGTTCACCCTCTTCGCCCCAATACGTTTCTCAATCCAACACGGTTTCGGTTTTACCCGTTCGTGTCGGATACCAGGAATATTCCGCTAATCAAGATCAACATCATCTTCGTCGAGATACGGAGGATCGAATACGGGCAACGGACGTTCACGGATATTCGGAGGCTCGTGTGAATCAGGAAACTAATTATTACGTTTTAAACGCTGATGGACAACGTGAACTGGAAAACGCGACGACGTCGTTCGAGAACCGAAACGAGGCGAAGGTGTACCAAACTCTGACGAGTTATCGCGCCTCGCATCAGGAGCATCGGTACAGTGAAAATGAGAAACATCGTTCGCCAAGTCATCGTCATCGATCGTCGCAAAATTACGGAGACGTAGATTCCTCGGTGGACGGGAAATCATCGTACGGTTTGCTACTAGCATCGTCGATGATAAAGACGGAACGCGCGAGCCCAGACTCGGCGGCGACGCCAGGGCCGTGCGAGTCGACTAGTTCTCCCGGTCTCTCCAGGATCCCACTCTCGCCTCTTCTGCATCAAGCAAGCAACAGTTCCAGCTCCAGTTCCAGCTCAACAACGTCCGTTCACTTCGATTCCCCACGGGCCTCCGCGAGTCCGTGCTCGTTGCACGTGCACGATCACGATCACGCACACGAGCACGTACACGCATACGCGTCACCGACTCCGGATTCCGAGAAGTCGATCCCGTCCATGTATCAGCAGGAGAGAGAGTCGAAGGAGACAACGACGACGACGACGACGACGACGACAACGACAACGACAGTCCGTATCGGAGAGAAGGAAACAGAGGACGTTGCGGGGGAGGCAGAAATCGGTAGGGCGGTGGTCAAGGAAGAAATTCAGCTGGAAGAAGAGGAGAATTGCGAGGAGGGAAGAGAAGCTGTCCCTGCAGCATCCTCGTACATCGATTATCAACGACCACCTGCTGGCTCGTCTTTCCTCGATTCCCGTCCTGCCAGCCCTGTACACGATCGAGAAGGATACTCGTTGCCTTCGAGCCCTCGCGAACCGACCAGTTCCGCTGGGTCCAGCACCAGTTGCTCCGACAGCGAGATGGACCCTCTCGACTGTTCTTCCGGTGGTCACAATTCGTCTAACGACCTTGCTCGGCGACGATCCTTCTCCCTGCGATTCAAATTAGACGTTCTCGATGCTTTCCACCGAGACGTCGGTGTGGCCGGCAACCAACGCGCCACCGCTCGAAAATTTGGCATAAATCGTCGTCAAGTTCAAAAATGGTTAGGCCAGGAGACGGAGTTGAGGGGCGAGATCGCACTTCGTGGAAACTCGCGACAGCGACTCGGCCCTATCCAGGATGTCGCTTCCGGTGACTCACCGGTAGATCTGAGGACGTCGAACTACGTTTCCAGCTTATCGCAGGATCAAATCGAAGCTGAATACGAGCGATCGCCTCCGCCTCGTTACTGTTGCGACATCGGCACCTCCTCCTCGCAGCATCTTTTCTACTATCACCATTCTGCCGCGATAGACCCGTCTTCCGAGAGCGAGCCTACCGTTTCTTGCAATCTCTCCTGTTGCATGGACAGTCACGCTACGACACCGGTCACCTCGTGTTACCAGGAAGTGTCCTTAAGGGGATCTTGCTACGCGGAGTCACAGAACAGGCAGTACTGTTATTCTCCGAGAGAGTATTCGTCCGAGATCACTTCGATCCCCTCGATCCCCGAACAATCGGAAGAATTGTCCTCGCCACTCAAGAGGCAACACTGCACCCTCTCGTGTTGCTACGAAACGCTGCCTTCGCCGAAAAGGCTTTGCCTGGAGGCGGAAGAATCAACGCAATTGAACGGAAATTCCTGCCAACAAGTGCCTCCTCAAGAAACGCCACTCTGTCTGGTGAAGCCAAAGAGGCTGGTTGTCGCCTCACCGTTGAGGACAGAGCCGGTAACCAGTACGGTGCCGACGCCACCGGCGTCCACCGTGCCACCTCATCCAGGACCAACACCGAAGAAGGACGCCATCTTGTTCAAACCCTACTTGGACAATCCGGTGAGCAAACCTGCGAAAGAGCACACGGTTCAAAGGGGTTTGTCACCAGTCAGCAGTCAGAACATCAGCAACAACAACAACTGCCAAAGCGTTTGTAATTTGAACGAAGGTAGCAGGGGCCACGATTATGCTCTCGAGCTTAGCTTAAGACTGCCGGTATCCTGGAGGACTCAGCCGAGTCCGTACACCGAGTTCCCGCAGGTCAGGAGCGCATTCGTTAGGTATCCAGCGAGTCACTACAGTTAATTCAAACGTTTATTCGATTCTCGATCTCGCGAAATATGTATTACAGCGACACCTGTTCCAGCTTGATCCTCGATTCGGGCCGAGTCCAAGTACCTTGGAATTGATTTTATTTACTTTACAAATTTTAGAATCCAATTTTTAATTGTACATTTGAGAATTTTAACGCATCGGTTCTTAGATATCTACAATCGTTCAGGGACAAATGCTTCGTGGACAGGATCATCCGTGGAAGGATCGATTAGTACGTGATCTACGACACGTCGTATGCCACGTAAGAGTTTATCGTTTCCACGGATCGCGTCGGTACCGTGTTATACATCATGATAAAGTCCTAATCGGCCATTGGACGAACCGAAACGTGGAAGGAGATTATACACACGCTCGCGTCCTCGCTTAGCATCTCCTTCGGACCCCCTCTTATACCTTACGCTCTTCTTCTTTTTCCCCGCTCAAAAGTCTTTTCTTGACTTTTTTTTTCCGCGCCTCTTTATCGTCGAGATTAACGGCTATCTGCTAGGCCGTTTAGAGGTCGAGTGCGTTCGCTATAATTACGGAATTATGTCAGTCTCGGGACGATACCGATCACGAAAGAAAAAGTCTCTCGCGGCTGACAACGTGGTTTCTAGCATTGCGTTACGCAATAACCTGACGACATACCGTCTCTTGTTCGTCGAGTAATCGTATTCTCCAGAAAATCGAACTCGAAACGGATGATCGTCTATGCTAGAACTGCGGCTACCGGTTTCCTTGGTCTTTTTCTATTCGTCATCTTCTTCTTCCTCCTTCTCCTCCTCTTTTGCCACGGTAGCTTCTCGATTCTTGGTTTGTCATATATCGTTCCGAATGAACGGTTGTCGCTGTTCTTATTCCACCGTCGTCGATCGAGGATCGATCTTATAAATATCGTGTTTAATTGCTCAAAAAATTTCTTCCATGGGCGCAGCTGTGCGATGCACGGTGCGCAAGTATTACGACAGGGTTTCGCTTCTTCGTTATATTCTTCGGTTCTCTCCCCTTTTGATCGACTCCTTTATGAATCTTCTTCGATCTCTTTCTCCTTCTCCTCGAAATATAATTTTGTAAATAAAATAATTCTAATGTTTCTCTGTCGATGCAATAAATAATTGAGGAGAAAGAGGAAAAAGTATATGAAACTAAGAAAAAGAAAAATCAGTACTTACCTAACGATTACTTCAATAATTAGAACTAAAATTATTTAATATTATAAGGAAAGGAGTTGACGATGCAATTGTAAAATTATTTTATTTTTGGAAACATAATATTCATGACGAAACACGGTCGATCAAGAGGGGAGAATTTGAAAAAGACAAATACGGGAGTGGTCCGAAACAACTCGCGTGCCTTACACATGATAGGTGATCGTGTAGCGTCGACATTTTAAGGGATACAATTTTAGAAATTTAGACCAATAAGGAGACAACGTTCTTAATTATTCTTATAAATTATTCGTACGTCGTCTTCTCCGTTTAACCGTGTGTTCCGATTCTCGCGAGGCGATAACACGTTTCTCTTCTTTAATATCATCGAACGACTTTCGGTAATAATAATAGAGTAGGAAAAAAGTATGGAAATTCCTCTTCATATGCGATTACCATTTCTCGTAATCGGTCGTTATGTTCGACCCCAAGGAGATAATGGTCGCGATAATGATCCGTGTGCATTGGCCAGCGTTGCTATTCGCGAAAACGGATACGAGCGAACGGGAAAGCGAAAATAGCGGTTCCACGAATGTTCTTGTGATCGGATAATTGAGCGAGCCCACGGTAAAGAAGGGCAATTTTGTAAATCACCGTCGCAGACGGAGGCAGTTACGTCAATGTTTCAATATTCAGAGCCAATCGAGCTCGTTCCCAGTGCGGCTAATCTCGCATATTGCGACAGCCGCGTTACATTATCGGTCGAAATGCACTCGCTCGTTACCGAGTCGGCCGACACGGGTCAACAGCGCACCAATCTATCTCGCGAACGGACGTAAAAATGCGTCAACTTTTGTAAATAGTCAACTATTCGTACCTTTGAAACAATAACAGTATCGGAAAAGGAATTTCCCTCCGTTCGTCCCGATTCGATCTCGCCTTTCGGAACTCGGAGAATCGGAAGATAGGAAACGGGAGAAGAAAAGGAGCGTATATTAGCCTTGTCCGCGTTCGTCGATAGGGTCAAGGTGGCAATGTACAATAAAATGTAGCGTAATCGTAAGCCATAATGAATTACATAATGCCATAACGTTTTACATAATAAACGTATAGTGTCGAACCGACTGACGAAAGAGGGAGCGTGCTCGGTAGTGCGAGAAATAAATGCGTGGATACGTGCGTGCGTGCTTGCTTGCCTGTGTTCCGTGTGCACAGCCCACAAGAGTCTATTAAACGAGGCATAGAGCATTGTATAAGCAATATTTTTTAAGTGCATAAAAGTGTGTGAACGGTTGAGAGGGAGGCGAAGGGATGGCGCACGAGCAGCAGCGTTTCGTGGGCGAGCCCCCGCGTTTTAAACTTCGTATTCACACACGTACGTAAACACAGAGTTATGGTGTAAGCATAATGCTTGTGTATCGTACATGTACAAAGAAAATTTATATATAATGTTGGAAGATAAAAAAAAAGAGAGCGCGTATATATATATATATATATGTATGTATGTATACATAATTATATATTATATTTTAATACGATGAACTTTTAGATTAGAAACGAAGCGCCTGAAAAACTCGCCCGGTGCCTTTTTAGATCGCTCGTGCCTTATAGGTTCGCGCGAGGTGGAATCAAGGACCAAAAAGTGTCCCGCGTCCTTAGAACGAACCACGGGTATTTATACGTTCCCCTCCGCGACGATGAAGCGTTCCGTGCTGGTTCTTGGCAAGGATAACGCTACGGGACAGAGTGCATACACCGGTGACTCGCCCAAGCGTGTAATAATATCAGTATTCAGAATTTATATTCGTTTATTTATTATTGGTCGTCGACACAGTGGTCCGGATCGAAGAATTTAGCCACATTCTAGTATTACCTTTGAACCATGAGAAGGTACATCCTGGGATCTCCTCTTCTTCGTGTTCATTCCTTGAAAAAATGACCAGTCCATAATCCGTGTAAGGGAGATGAACACGGAGGGAAGGAACCAATGGACAAGGTACGATTAATATTTTTTGGTAAAATGTCGCTATATTCTTCTGTCCGGAGTCTGGACCATTGTACGTCATTTTAAATCCACTCTTGTTTCTCTTCTGCCTCGTCGAATGAAAGAGGATAATTGAAAAGATATTATAGTTTCACCCTTCTCTTAGATCTATTTTATTCGTATTTCCGATCATTCTGAAGGAAAACATTTTAAATTGAGTAAAACGATAAGGTGAACTCGTTCCGAGGGTCGATCGAGAGCTAACGAAACGAATCAATCAGGGTTCCTTCGCCGAGAGGCAGCTCAAAGTGTGATAAATCGCCTCGTTTCTTCGAGGCTTATCTATTTTTCTTTTTTTCTTCTGTACGGCCGAGGCTCTCTGGCGAGCATGAAACAATGGCGAAAGCAACGATATTATTTGACTCCGTCGTTTAAAAGCGTTATTTCTCTTCTGTCGTTAAAATTGTGATCTATCGAGATGAAAATGGCGAGACTGAGAGGGAGAGGCTGAAACACAGAGAGATAAAGTAAGTGTGAACGTCGTTCTTTCTTTTTTTTTTTTTGTACGATAGGAAGAAACAAAATTCATTGTATTAAATATTGTATTATATGTACACACAGCCGGACACATACACACAGACATGTAGATTATTGAAAATTTTAAAGAAAATATAAGAGACTATTTTAAATGAAGAAATCTCCGTTCCCGTCTTTCTTAGTTTTAAATTAAACTTAATGTTAAGTTAAATTTAATGTTTTATTCGAGATGTTACGTATTTACAATCACTCGAGATTACAAGATTGAAGAAAAATTTATTCCTTCAAGACGCGTGCACGCGTGTCAAGCTGAATGTCTTCGAGATAACAACGAAGCTGATAATTTGAAGAAAGTTGACACAGTCGAGCAAAGATACATCGCATATGGGTTTATAAGTTGATTTAAAAAAAACCGCTACCATCTTTAATCTCCAATTTATTTCATTTAACAAACATAAAAATAAATATGCATATATTTGTAGACTGAAAGCAGAAAATGTCCAAATAATTTCATCATGTTTGTAGAAAGATCGTAATTACGTTGAAGATAAATTGAAGCCAAGTCAGAGTCATAGAGTGACTCGTGCAATGAAAGCAGTCACGTTGGATGCCCACTCATACAATTGCGCTAGCTGTGCAATCGATGCATTGTTTCCGTTATCGCGGTCGATTGGTAGTATGTACCTCGATCGTCACCCGTGCTCGCTAAACTTTCTAAGCACGCAACCACATGCATGCCTGTCGCTAATTAACGATGCACTTGTATCGATAAATGACGTCAAGTACCCTCTACGTATGATAGGATTTCTTCCCGGCTGTTGGACATTCATTCATCATCCTTCGAGCCTGCACATTGATTTCGATAAGTCTGCAATTGTACTTTTATCTTCAACCACTATTATAATATGTAAGGTAATTTTTATTTGTAACTGAAAAGTGCAATGCATGCCAGCTGCACACGTGCACCTGACGCAATCGTATTCTAGAGGATCTTGAGAAAAATGAAATAAGGAATAATAAATGTATATGCAATTGTAATTGCTTTAAAGTTTAAAGCAATGAATATAAAATTAATCTTCACGACGTGCGCACAAAGGATTGTTAATTGTTGAATACTAATCTCTAATTTTACAAATCAAATGTACTTTCTGATATTACAGTTGTTTATGTTATCGACGGTGGTAAAACAGCTATACTAATTTATCGACGTTTCCAACAATTTGAAATATCCCCAAATATTTTATCATCGCTGCAACCGCATAAAATGCAATTAATTGACAAAAGTCATGCTTTTCCTTGCAAGTTGTTATCTTTTGAGCTAAGTTTTTATTTAAACGTTAACGTTATAAAAAATTTTCTGTATTAAATCGCAATAACGACGATATCCGTTTTTATCGGGGACACCGCGTGTGCGCAAAGCAGACCTTGAATCAAAGTATGACTGATGCAACGCTTTCAATCAACGCCAATAAATGTCACCAACTGGTGCAATGTAATTAGGAAGGGTGCAGTGGCACGTACAAATAAAAACTCGTATTAAACGTTCGATTTGAAAATAAATATATTTTGCATGAAATGTTATTATGATACGATACATAATTGATGTATGTATGTACATACAATAAGAATAAAATTAATTATTTTACAGATAGTCTTGCTACGTTGCGTTACACATTTTATTCAAGTAGAATAATTGAAACTACCGTCTGGAGCGGTTGAAAACAATTTCACGGCATAGTTGCACGTGTTTGGCGTTCTCAACCGGAAATTCGAAAGGGATACCAAAAAGTTCCTGGCATCTTTCCAGTTGTCGAATAGCATCACTTCTGTTCACGAGGTAAAGATCAGCGCAACGACGAACTCTCGAGTTTCGTTGATTATTCCTACCGTGTACTTCTTATCCATCCGCCGATACCATCGGACACCAATTGTAAATCGTCAGTTCAACAGATTGAATCGTATTTTATCAGGGATCCCTATTCGATAAAACCATTTGTTAATAAGCAGTACAACGTGATCCTCTACTATTGGTATATAATACATATGTGTACATGTGTAATACTAATTAATAATATACATTGTCACAGCCACCAAACTTTATTATCGTGCCATTATAGTTTCCATTTATTGTGGAATTATAGTCTTAATGAGATTACTCGTACAATTTAAATTCAAAACTTTAGAAGACCATATTTTCAAGATTCATTATTTTTCTCTGAAACTTGTTCTCTGAAGGACAAGGGAAAAAATAGAACTACAAACGTCCCTGTGAAGTTCCGTAGCACAGGCAAAACATTTCGAAGGAATGGCGGGAAAGCCTTATTCCCTACGTTGTGAAAGTCCAGTCAGAGTTTATTTTTATACTAGGCAAACGAGTATGTTTCTTTCTTATTCCTCTTCTTCTCGTTCAAATATCTTTTATTCTCCTTGTAACAACATCGTCTTTCGAGACTGGAAACATCAATCTTTTTTGGATGATGGTCGTTTTTTAGTATCGTTCGTTGAGTAAAATAAGACTTTCCCCACGATCAAATGGTTCAATCGCGAATTATATTCAGCCATACGTTTTTGGTTACAGGCTCTGCAGTTCGGGAACGTTGGAAAAGAGTAGCTGTAAATGACGGAGCGCTATGAATCGCCCGAGGTGACGACTATATTGACCAAGGCACAGATTCACGAAAGATATCAAGATACAGCCCTAGTTATATTCAAAGTAATTGACAGTATATACATTTATAGCAGTTTTGATCATTTATATTAACGTATTATAATCTGTTTGTTGCAGGAGCAGCAAAGTAAAAGGGAAGCAATGAACTATTTAACTATCGGAACAAGCCGCAGAACTATGGAGTATAGTAGTTACGGAAATCAACCTGTTGTCGTGCGGAGACCAACTGGAACTCTAGTACATCATAATGAACAAAACTTGTCCTCGCAGATATTAAGGATATATCAAAAGCCTCGAGATAGTTGTGTAATAAATTAAGTTATACCGTTTTCGTTATTTAATAATTTTCAATGTGTTTTTTTTTATTTTTCTTTTGCACTATAGTACTCGTAGATCAATAATTTCATGATACTGATTACAGGTTTGATTAGTACGTTTATATACACGAATAATTTATATAACTATATTTATACAGTACGCTGTTTCATGTTACCGAATATATTTCGTTAATTACAATTCATTCGGTCTAAAATAAATGTGGTCCGATGTTGATCCGACTTACGTACAAGTCCTGCACTGCGATTACGATAAAATTCGTAATTCTTTCGAGCGTTACGAAAATACAAGCAACAATAATAGTTTGGCGTTATAACCATTGTTTTCACAAGAGCGATATTCACGACTTGGTACAAAATAAATATGTAATAAAAGACATAGAGCATAAAAAGATCCATACTGATGGATCTGATTTGAGCGCCAGAAAAACTGGCAAGATAAACAGCAACGAACTCGCGAAATCATTGATAATTAGCAAACTTGCTGTTTCAATATGGGTTATGACGTTAAAATTAAATGCAGAAAATTGTCAGGATAGCTTAAATGTTCAGACATCCATTGGAGTGGGGTTTCCAAAGGTGGTGTAATGCCATGAGTAATCACTTTAGCTGTAAAAAGAAGAGAAAGCATGTCTAATAACTGTACATACAATGTGATACGAAAATCTGGTAGAAACGAAAACGACTTTTACCATCTTCATGATCTGGGAATACTTCATTCAATAAATGCCTCAATGTTTTCCTTTGGCCTTCCTCGTTCATAGGTTTTACAAGCTTTTGTACATACTTGTCTTCGCTCGTATAACAACGAAACGGTATGTATTTGAAACCCTCTTCACTGTTGGTAGCTTCCATAAGTTTTCTATTCACAGACCAAAACTGATCAAACTTATCATTCAGTAAGCCAGACCACAACTGATTGTGATCTTTCTTTTGCATACTTGACACTACTTGGCCTCTGTGTTTTAATACATCTGCTTCTTTTATACATGAAAGAAAATACGATTCGACAATTTCTCTGAAAGTTTAATGTAATCAGTTCGTAGGTCTCAGTGTCGATAAATTATAAACGAAACGTTATATACCTACTTGTTTTGACAGTGCATCAGCACATTCTCTGGAAATTTATCGAAGTGAACGACAATATTCCAAGGCAATTGTATATCATTGAAATAAATGTCCAAAAGTACACCGATCGGGTAGTGCCATTTCAAGGGGATACCATTAAACTCTAACCACATCTCGTGTTCTTGTTTGCTGTCACTTTGTATATGTCGTATAAAATGTTTTCGTACCTAGTTAGAAAATTAACGTAAACCGTGAACATTATTAAATAAGATAGTTTTTTAAAATGAAACAGAAGATTCGTTTTGCGCTGATTTACCTTATCTGAACAGAGCGGAAAATAACTTAACCTAGGTACCATAAGATAATACGGATCAGGTCCTTGCAATTCACATATTTCCTCGGGATCAAGAGTGAAACAAACAGGAACTTTACCATCCCAAATTTCTCTCAATACTTCCCTGTCATTCGCCATTATGCGTATAATGACAGATAACGTGTAATTTAATTCATTCGTAACTTCAATGACAAGTTATCCTTTACCAAGAGGTTATGTTTTTCGTCTGCTACAAATATTGGCTATATCAATGACGACATATTCAAAAAGACAGGACATGTCTTATTTCACGATCACTGGGGTCCCGGACACCCCCAGGCGAAGAACATCACCGAAGAAAAATTGGCGCGAAATATTAATATTTCCAAGATCGAAGCGAAACACCATCAGTCTTATAGCGACCACCGAGGGGTGCAGATCTACCTGTTAAACATAAGTACGCATATCCTTATTTTATATTCTGCGCTCATTCAATTTGCTGTATTTATCTTCTTGGCTTATTGAATAAACTCATTAAGGAGAAGAAGGTGTTGATTTTATTACTTCCGTCTGCACCCTTTATATCTCTGATTCCACTATATCATTTCTTACATCACAGCAACACTTACATTTCAGTATTCCTAACATCTCTGCATTCCTTACATATCTGTATTCGTTTCATCCCTACATTCCTTACATCCCTACATTTCAGTATTCCTAACATCTCTGCATTCCTTACATATCTGTATTCGTTTCATTCCTACATTCCTTACATCCCTACATTTCTTTCATCCCTACATTCCTCACATCGCTTCATCTCTTCATCCCTTACATCCCTGCATTGTTTTCATCCCTACATTTCTTACAATCGCTTCATCCCTTACATCCCAACATTCTTTTCATCCATACATTCATTCCATCCCAATATTTCTTTCATCCCTACATTCCTCACATCGCTTCATCTCTTCATCCCTTACATCCCTGCATTGTTTTCATCCCTACATTCCTTACATCGCTTCATCCCTTACATCCCAACATTCTTTTCATCCATACATTCTTTCCATCCCTACATTCCTCACATCGCTTCATCTCTTCATCCCTTACATCCCTGCATTGTTTTCAGCCCTACATTCCGTACATCGCTTCATCCCTTACATCCCAACATTCTTTTCATCCATACATTCTTACCATCCCTACATTTCTTTCATCCCTACATTCGTCACTTCGCTTCATCTCTTCATCTCTTACATCCCTGCATTGTTTTCATCCCTACATTCCTTACATCGCTGCATCCCTTACATCCCTACATTCTTTTCATCTATACATTCTTTACATCCCTACATTCCTCTCATACCTACATTGTTTTCACCCCTGCACTCCATACATCGCTTCATCCCTTATATCCCTACATTCCTTTCATCCCTACATTCCATACATCGCTTAATCCCTTATATCCCTACATTCCTTACATGTCTATCCCTTTCTCGCGAAATTCTCGAAAAAAGCGCCCCCTAGTGGCGAAAATGTGAACTAAAATTTCGATGTCGAATCAGCGCCATCTGGTTTTGGAAAAAGAAACTAAATCATGCTCAATTTTTGGCCCTCTAGCGGGAAAAATGTGAACTAAAATTTCGATGTCGAATCAGCGCCATCTGGTTTTGGAAAAAGAAACTAAATCATGCTCAATTTTTGGCCCTCTAGCGGGAAAAATGTGAACTAAAACTTCGATGTCGAATCAGCGCCATCTGGTTTTGGAAAAAGGAACTAAATCATGCCCAATTTTTGGCCCTCTAGCGGCAAAAATGTGAACTAAAATTTCGATGTCGAATCAGCGCCATCTGGTTTTGGAAAAAGGAACTAAATCTCACTCCGTTTCTGGCCCTCTGGCGGCAAAAATTTGAACTAAAATTTCGATGCCGGGTCAGCGCCCTCTGGTGGCGAAAAAAGGAACTAACTTACAGAGATGTAAGTAATGTAGGGTGAAAGGAGTGTAGGGATGGAAAGAATGTAGGGATGAAAAGAATGTAGGGATATAAGGGATGAAGAGATGTAAGGAAAGGAGGGATATAAGGGATGAAGCGATGTATGGAATGTAGGGATGAAAGGAATGTAGGGACGGAAAGAATGTAGGGATGAAAAGAATGTAGGGATGAAAAGAATATAGGGATGAAAAGAATGTAGGGTTGAAAGGAATGTAGGGATGAAAAGAATGCAGGGATGTAAGGGATGCAGAGGTGTAACGGAACGAGGTATGTAAAGGAATTCCGTAGGGCCCGGGCCTGGGACCCAGGTATCCGCTGCACGAGGCCCGAGGAGTTCCGACATCGAGTGTGAAAGTAGAATAAATGGGATCCTCGCCTGAGACCCAGAAGAGGGATATAATCATAAATGTTATTCCCCTTCGATGTACTTATTTAATAAGCAAAAAAAAAGAAATGAAGTAAATTAAATAAACTCTGGAAAAAAATTATACTGGTTGCGCCCTCTTCATACGGACCTGATACTATCCCGGGGTGTCAGGGACTCCACTGCGCCCATGACGCCCTGAGCGTACCGACCTAATATCATATTGGGGTGTTAAGGACCCTGAAACGCAGTTAACTATCTTCGCATACCAATAATATAGCATCCGGGGTGCCAGGGACCCCGAAACACTGATAATACTCTTTGTATAGCGACCGTATGGCGTCCGGGGTTTCAGGGACCCCAAAGCGCCAGTAATGCTTTCTAGATACCGACTTAATATCATCTTGGGGTGTTAAGGACCCCTGAGCACTGATGATGCTCTTTACATACCGACATTGTGGCATCGGGGTTTCAGGGACCCCGAAGCGCCAGTAATATTCTCTGGATACTGCCCTAATATCATCTTGGGGTGTTAAGGACCCCAATACGCCGGCAACTATTTTCGCATACCAATAATATAGCATCCGGGGTGCCAAGGACCCCGAAACACCGACGATGCTTTTTGAATACCGATATTATGGCATTTGGGGTTTCAGGGACCCCAAAGCGCCAATAATGCTATTTACATACCGACATTATGGCATCTGGGGTTTCAGGGACCCCAAAGCGCCAATAATGCTATTTACATACCGACATTATGGCATCTGGGGTTTCAGGGACCCCGAAGCACCGATGACTTACTCTACATATCGACCTGATATCGTATTGGGGTGTCTGAGACCCCGGTGATGCAACCTGCATACCGACAAAATATCATCTTGGGGTGTCGGGGACCCCGGCGACCTCTTTGCGCACCGATAAAATATTACCTTGGGGTATCGAGGACCCCGTCTACTTACTGCACATCAACCTGAATTCTTCTTGGGGTGCCAGGGACCCCTCCGACTCTCTCTGCGCACCGACAAAATATTACCTTGGGGTATCGAGGACCCCGTCTACTTACTGCACATCAACCTGATATCTTCTTGGGGTGTCAGGGACCCCTGTGACTCTCTCTGCGCACCGACTTATATATATATATTAATAGATTGTAGATATTTCTAGGTTTTGTTTAACATTTTGCTCAGGTGTTAAAAATAATCATATTTAATTTGAATGAAGTGAAATTGTTATTAAATTTTTTTTTTATTAATATCTTATAATGGAAGACTTTATTCCAACACGGGTGTCAAAATTAAACAAGGACGCTGTGAAGGGATTCATGTTGGTTAATTATGAAAAGCCAAAAAGAAAAAGAAAAAATGACGTGACTGAAAATCAGCATGGAAACGAAGTACAAAGTTCTAGATTTAGCATAAAAATTAATAAAGAAGAGGAGCATAATGATTATAAAAAGACACAAGAGCGGGAAATGAAACGTATCAGATACGAGGTTATGAAATTTGGTATGTCCGGTTTTGAAAAAGTAAAAGCAGAAGAAGCAAAAGTTGCACTTGCTTTAAGTTTAGGTGCAAAAGCTCCTAAGAAAAAAGGTATTAATTATAAAGAGTTAAAAGAGCAAAGGAAGAACACAGGAAAGAAGGTAACACGCGTATCAGGACTCGAGAAGAGTTTGATAACACACAGAACCAAGAAGATACGTAAGAAAAATTCAAACGATATATTAGGAATTTATGGGAAAGTGAACAAGAGAGCAGATAAAAATAGGAAATAAAATTCCAACTATAAACATTTAAAATATTTTTATTTATTTTGTTTAGTTCTCACTACATTTGCTCATTGTATCCAACAACATGTTCCATGTATTGTATAACTAACAAGTAATAAAATAATATTTTTCATGTATTTATGAATTCATTCAGGCCAGCCTTGAGCTTTAGTAATAGGATACATATTTTTGTTTATACACATTTAAAATAGATATTTATATAACATTCACGATGCCGTAATGGAATGGTTTGGCATTTAAAGAATAACTTTATGTATTCAGTCGAGGTCAATCAAAGGCTGCAGCTGTTGGCGCTACCTCGAGTAACATTTGGAGAAAGGCGTTTATTCCTTCTGAAAATGGAGAGAGTAACTTTATCTACCTGTACTTAATACTGAAAAGTGTTAAATTATAGAAGCAATATTTACCCATAAATTTGGGCACGTATCCATATTTAACAAAGGGGAGGTAGACAAACATGCCCGCAAATATGAATCCAGTTGCGTATAAGTATTCGATCTGAGGTTTTTCGATGATTGGCGCTACAATCAGGTACGCAGAGATTCCAAGTACAAGCACAGGTATTATCAGCGGACATTTGTACGGTCGAGGATGATTCGGTCTGGTCCTTCGCATCACCAATAGAGCTAGCATTGCTCCACCATAGAAGATCCAAGCGGTAAATGAAAAAAAATCGATCAAAGAATCTATGTTTCCGGATAGTACCATTGCTCCTAAGAGGTATTTCATAAAGTAATTAGTAAATATACACGTATTTATTAATCGTTAATGTGTAGATACTGAAGAATAAAATGGCAATACAAAAGGTACCTGCAACAAGCGAGTGAAAAATAAGTCCTGGAGCAGGAGTAAAGCGTCGCACGTGTACATAGCTGAGACAATCGAGTAAATGACCTTCTCGAGATGCGGCGAAACAGAGTCTACCTGCTGCAAAGAGAGTACCATTCGCAGAACCAAAGGTGCTGATCGCAACTGAGAGTGGCATAAGCCATGCCATCACGCCAAGAATCCGATTTCCAAAAGTCTGTGAAACGTTAAAGAGACAATTACTAATTAAGTTTAAAAGTTAAAACTAATAGACAGAGTAGATGGAATGACAAGATGTCTTACCACCGCGACAGCCTCGCTTTCGATCATCTCAGAAGGGGACATCACAGCTAGGTACGATAGGTTTATTAACGCATAACACAGCGTAACAAGTGGTATACCAATCATAATCGAACGTGGTAAATTCTTCGAAGGATCTTTGATTTCTTCGGTGACGTAATTAAGATTGTTCCATCCGTCGTAGGCCCATAGACCAGTGTAAAAAGCTGTAGCTAATCTACCAATGTTAACGGTGCTTCCGTCCATTGTTTCGAAGGCGCCTTTCAGATGCTGCGTGTTACCCTGTATCAACTTGTACGAGCCACCGGCTATCACAACCAGTATGGCGATCAGTTTAGCTGCTGTAAACGCGTTTTGTACACCCGTGGCCAGATTAACGCTGTAACAGTTCACCAGTAATATAAGTACGATGGCGAGGAGCGCAACGAGTTTAACGACTTCCTCGGGTGGATCGCAGTCAGCCGCGAAGGCTTCGACCGCGTACTGAGCGAACGAGAGACATATGATCGCCATCTGAGACGGCTTCAAGACCAACGTCGAGACCCATGAGAAGAGGAATGCAGGCGCTGCGCCGAACGCATCCATGAAGTAAGCGTACTCGGCGCCGCTGCTTGTGTTCATTGTACCCAGCTCAGCGTATGCTAACGCACCACACAGACTCAACATGCCGCAGGCCGTCCATACCAGGAAGCTGACTCCGATACTGCCAGTCCGAACCAAAAGCCCTGACGGCGAAACGAATATCCCAGAACCTATCGTTTACATAGAGAATTAATTAGAGACATAGAAAGCTATTTCACAAGTCTTTGCGTATTTATATAATGAGTCGCTTTGCCACTCGCTCTGAAAGTATTTGAAAACTATCGGAAAATTACGCAAAGGCTTTTGAAATGACTTGATTATAGATTTAGGGGATCGTTACCTATCATGGTACCAACGATTAGAGCCACCCCACTGACGAGTCCCACCCGTCTCTTGAGGTGAACAGAGTTGTTCTCCTCTGGGTCCGTCCCCTCCACCCCTCCACCCCCTCCACCCCCATCTTCATCATCTCCCAGCTCCCCAGATTTAACTTCTTTCTGTTTCCGTTCGTGTAGCTGTTGTTGCTGTTGACCATGTTGAAACGACGATATAACTGGATGGTTCCAACCGTTGCTGTTATCGTTGCCTCTGACGGATCGCTGAACCAGTGTCGACTCAGGGATTCCGATCCATCCACCGCCTTGCATCTGTTGCTGCAACTGATTGTTGCCGTTGCTCGTCTGTGGATCATGTCCCACGGTAGCTGAAACAAATCGTTTTTATCATCGTTAATACATTTTTCTAATGGATCGACGAGAAACGTGTTCAAAGCGCAGCTTCGCGATACCTTCGTACATAATTGTTCAAAGTTTCGCAAATAAATGATGTATTTATTTAATATTCAATAAAAATCTAATACAAGTTATTAAAATGTATTTTAATATCTCCTTTTCGACTAATAACAGAGATGCTAAGATACTTGAAGAGGATGCTCGTGAATCTAAAAAGCGTGAAATCCTTCAATTTGTATTTATGTCGGCATATGACGTTCATTATTCTTGTTATTACCGTCGCGACGATGTTGCTGCTACCGTAATAGTTCGCGTGGACGTATGCCAAAAGATTTCTCGTGACCTGTTAGATTGTTGTTCCTTCCTTGATAATAGACGGACGTAGTCTGAATCTGAACACGTGCTTTTCTAAATCAATGACGAATAGATATCGGTCGTGCAACCAAAACAAACTCCGTTACAGAGTTTGTTAATCATTTACGAGGTTGATAATTAAGGTAGATTGTTGGAAGTTTATAGCGCGTGTGCCTACCGCAAGAATCGATATTATCAATAGTTAGGTCGATAACGGATACCGAAAGCAGTAAACCTTTATGGAACGCTGCGATGAATAATCGTCTAAAGCGCAACACGAGTATAATTGTTCTCTTTTTCTTTTTAAACGAATTCAACACCCAGCCGATCGTGTCTCGTGCTCTACGCAAAGCGTGTGTCACTTCGTCTTCAAGGTGACCTTTCGATAAAGGACTATCGATTCTCTCGTCGTACCTCCATGGTTTATCTTTGCACGATATTTAAATACTGTACATTTTAAAATATCGTTCGATTTATTCCATAAAATTGATAATACATGCTCCTATAGTTTGTGCTTGAAAACGAACTCATTACGCAAAAATGAATTTAGAAATTCATCTGAGGCGATGACGAGGGTGTGACTGAATGAAACTATATTCCGTTAATAAGCATTTATTTCGCAAGGAAGCATAAATTTTCACACGACCAGCACCAACTAATGCACTCGACAGAATGTCGTCCGTTGTGCTGCTTGCTATTTTAAAGGGGGTTGCAAGAAAGTTTCCCTCCATAGTCGGAGGAGAAACTTTTCGATTTTCCCCAATAAATGAAAATACCTTCTAAGGGTCCGCGAGCCCAAAACGTTGGACACGATTTTGCTGACGAAAATCAACCGACCACCCCACACTTCCAAGACCCACTAAATTAAACGTCCAAGAATTTAATTACAGAAGCATCGTTTGCATTTTCTTTCATCGAAAAGAAAGGCTGAACGATTCTGAAAATGAGACGTTCGCAAAAAATTGCTGACCTGTTTTGTCGCTACGCAAACGCCAGTGTCCTTTAGCCATGTATTTATTCTACTTTGTACCGATTACGTTACATTTGTGACAAATAACGTATTAAAATAACAGTTCGGATTAATAATAGTTAAGATTTGAAGCTAGAGTTTTTGGCTTAGGTTGTTCATGCGATGTCTGTTGCAATACTGAAGAGAACTTTAATGGCTTGACCACGTACGTGTACAATGCGTCGTAAAACTATTTTTTAAAACATTACATAAAGGATAAAATCGGGAAGACTGTTATCTTTTGCAAACAGTTTTGCAGATTAATTATTTTTTCGGCGCAAATGTTAACAAGGAATAAGAACGTAATGACTGTAAATAATTAAGACTGATAAAGAAGCATTATGCTCGTCGTGTGACAAACTGACAATGAGAATTAAATTGCAAAATCCGTCGAACTGGTAATGCGATATGCTAACGCGGATCTTCGCGGTGTTTAGTAGCCAGCGTCTATCAGTGGTCATTTTATTGCCTGGCATGAAATCACTGCACATTTATGATCCTTTTACTTTATTACTCGTCATTTGTTACAGTTAATTTCATCTAAATTCTCGTGAAAAACCGTGGAACAGATAAAATCTAGATTGTCGCAATGATGCGCCACGTATGAAAGTCATTTAATTAATTACTCGTCGCTTCTAATCGTTAACACGTTCAATGTTAAAATGAAAGTAATGACGTGTAAGCACGACACGTTATTATCAAGGATAAAAGAATTTAATTCTTCAATTAACACTTTAACAGCTGGTGTCACGCATTCGTGACCGAAATGCGTCCAGTTGTTCGAAGACTCCGATATAACTGAACGTTGTTGTCGCTAATTACCTTTCGCAGTTAACGTGACGTAAATAATCAGGAGAGAAGAAGAAGAATAGTGAAACGAGAAAGATTGAAATTTTCATAATCGTCAATTCAAACGCCATCAATAAAAACCGTTTCTAAGCCGTGTTAATGCCTATTGTACTAAAGTGTCGTAATGATCCAATTGCGTTTAATTGATCGTTCACGAGAAAGAAACCGATCTACGTACAAGGTCTTGGTTGAAAGAAGATTGGATTCACGATCGAAGGCTGTAAAGTTTACCTTCCAATTTCTTCGTCGGTACGAACGATGTTGGAAATTTACGTTTTCCATAATTTTTCAATTCGCGCGTCAAATAGATTCAATACGATATCGATTGGATATCGCGTAATTGAAATGTAGGAGAAAACAAACGTGTTTTCGCATCGAGTTCTATGTAGTCAACGACTTCTAGTTTACTCTGATAGGTTCCACGAACTATACATCTAAACTTTGAACCTCTTTGTCGACGCGTAAACTCCTAATCGATTCATCGAGTTGAAAATTGCGCGAACAGGCTGAAACATTGTGGCGCGCCCCTACAATGATCAACACTTTGAGTAATGGATTTTATTTTAACTCGTCAGTTATTCGGTAAATTGATGCTGATTGATTGAATAATTTATTCAAGATTTCAACCTTGTTCTCCAATCCTTATTATCGTCACGTTTTCGTTTAAATCCTCTTCAGGTATTTCTTTTTCAAATATTTCAGATTCAAAAGGCAAACATACGACAGCTAAAGTAGCAAGCTTTTTATAACTTCATTATTACTGCGTAAATACCGACGGAAGAGAACATTTAATTTGTTTTCCACGTCAAACGGTAAAATTGTCAGAGTAAAGCTGTTGATTTATAGCCACATGACATTGGTCAACGGTTTTCATTTCACTCTATCGATCATAATATTTCTCATTGCCATCTTATGACCCGTTGTTAAAGAAGAGTTTATAAATGATTAAACGAAAAGTTTAGAAAAATTGGAGAATGTTTTGTAGATTTTTTTAATTATTCACCGATTAGTAATGATTAACTCATTAATTAGAGAGTAGATCTATGTATAGTAGCAAGTGCGGTTCAGACGCAAGCATTTACGATAAAAGCAACGTTGTTTGAAACACGTATAAGCCGGATAGCAAGAGAATAGCACGAAGAAGAACATAACTGTGCATTAGTTTGCGTGTAAAGAATAATTGGCTTAAACGAAACACGTCGCGTCGTTGAGTACTTGTCGTCGTCTCTTTATCGAGTAGGTTCGTTGTAAAGTCGTTCGTCTATTTGTGTCCACTTCGAACGGCACATGTCTATTATGAAATGTTATAAATAAGGTCTCGAAATGATGCGCGGGAAGATTGACATCGAAACGTTATCAATCGTCTATTTGTATTTATTGAAAAAAACTATACAGGAAAATTGGATTTTATAGAGGATGCAACTTGTAGCAAGTACGTAACACTTGTGTATATTTGCGGCCGCTGACGTAGTACTACGTCTTTCCGTCATTTAAAACAATTTCTATCTTTCCTCGGTTATATTTTTAGCGGATTTCTTTTTTAAACAAACAAATTTCGATTTTCTTTTCTCCGAGGAATCTTCAAAATCGCGTAAGAATGATTAATCGATCGTTTAAACATCAAAATGCATCAAGTGAATTAGATTATTGTTATAATTTTCGAATGACAAATACATTGGACGAGGAAAAGTGGTAAATCACTTTTGCACGGACCATCTCAACGTACACTATTAAAATACCCTCTTAAAATACTCTTTTCTAAAAATACTTTACTCGAGCCAGACCTGGAAACTCTCGGCTTCGTTTTTCGAATGATTAAGATTTTGAGAGATCGTTAGCTGTTTATGAATGAATAGAATAGCGAAGGAAGGAAGTAAGGAAAATCGATGGTTGTTCTTGACTTCGATAAATTTAGCTCTGTCATTGTCGAGGTGATTAAATAGAAAATCGCGGATATTCTTGGATCTATCCGAAAGAATTTGTGCACCCTACGAGCTTACCGTTTCACGGGATGACGCAACTTGGACTTCGTGGATTTTGGTAGTTGCGCTCTTCCGTTGCATAACAATCATTTGCCTTCGTTTCCTACAATTTGTATCAATTAAACGGGCCCTGGTTTTCGACTTCGCGCCATCACGGTAGCGAATTCATTTTTGGAAACCTACGCTCATCTATGCCAATTAACAGCGACTACAAACTATAAATTTATCAAAGTATCTGTTTGCGACACATATCACGAATATTTTATCACTCATTGTAAATAATAAGTATATACTTAAATTTTCCCCAATTTCTAGAAACCTTGAGTAATGCATTTTATTTTGTTGAATATTCATTAGCTTTTTAACTATTATGTAATAAGGTGTTATTTGCATATTCAAAAAGGAAAAAGAAGATTCTTCGAAAAAAAAATAAGACATTATTTGTACTTGTTACGTAAGACAAGATTTCACGTGCTTTCGATATTTCAATTTTTCCTTTTTGTACAAAATTCATTTGGCAATGAGTAAAAATAATTAGCTCAACGAAAATACTGAGGAGCAGAAGGAAATAAGAATTACGATATGCCTTGGCACACACACGTGCTTTCTTGTCCTATAACTTTAGTACCAACAGGTTTTATTTGATCGTTGAAACGTGTCTTTTCTGAGAAAGTTTCAAAATGTTCTGCAATTTTCATATAATCTACCTGATATTATTTTAGTTATTCAATGACTTCAATTACGATCAATCTTTTTTCTTTTTATAGAGTTGTTTATCGGATTGAACATATCAAATTTTATTTTGTTCTTTACTGTTTTGAATATTGTTTACATGTAATTTTTAGTTCTGTTAACAACTCGAGTGAAGAACTTGGTCCAAGAATGGGAGTCACGTTTATGAATGAGGAGCCCGGCGAGGGTAAAAAGCGCGCGAATCTTTCCAATTACGAATTAAGTGGTTCTCGCCAGGGTAAGTGTCATTGGGTCACGTAAAACGATGTGAACAATGACCGCGATATACGTTTAAAAAAAAAAAGAAAAAAGAAAAAAGAGAGAAAAATGATAATGTCGCTCACCTCGTTTGAAGGGCGCGACATGCATGACTCTAAGAGGGACCGATAAGAAGGGCGGACTGTGAGACCGCCTCTCATGACACCACGCCGACTTTTCGGTGCAACCACTGTCTCTGCCGTTTACAGCTGTCTTCGGACCGTCGTCTGGCTATATTTTTGCGCTAAATTCTCTTGTGAATCTCTCGTTTGCGTATCAACGGGCGACAATGCTGTACGCCCTTTCTTTCGTCTGAATTTTCGAACGTTAACAGCCCAAAGACTTAGAGGAAGCCTCGTCTTCTACGCTCGAACTGAATCCTATTTGATTTTCGATTTCTAACACAAATTTTATGTATGGGTTAGATATGTAACTATAATACCACGATACGACTTGCACCGATCCACCTTTGGCGATGAACTGGGTGTTCGACAGAGGGAGACGTACCCGCCGAAGAGCGAACAGGAACGAGGTCGGGAAGGGGAAACCGAGAGTGCAAGAAGGAAAGGAAGATAGAGGGACGAGCGCCTAGCGTCGGCGCCCAAACTCGCTCGATATCGTGTTTCTGCCTTTCGACTTCTATCGGATATCTATGAATTCATCTGATAATTCCTTTTTCATGTTATTTCATGTTTTTTCTTCCTATTGCATTTAAAACCTTATCATTAAAAAAAATAATGATTAGTATTTGAACAATTTACAACTCTAGCACGGGTCTAATTACTATATTTTTAAAGCGATAACATGTACATATGTATGCACTAACAATAAGTCGCGTGTATTTGTAAAAACATTATATACAATATGTAAAACATAACAAAATGCAGTTTTATTATATAATATTGATTTTATGACATACATAAACATATAACAAACATTAAATAGATCTTATGGTCAAAGTGTAATATATTATATTAATTATACACAGTGTATTAGAAAAATAAAAGCGTTTTGTTTTGTTAACTATATATTTCGTTATTTGAATGTAAGGATTTTAATTAATATTAAGTCTTTTTAACTGTGATAAATACAAACTTAACAATGACTTAAACATTGTTTGCATCTTTAATTAATGTATCATGTTTTATACATACAGAAACAGATATTTCAATAAGGCTTTTGTACCACTGAGCGTCTGGAAAACTGTTTTTTCTTTTTTAAGCATAACTTTAAAGTTAAAGCTTTTCATACTAGGCCAGCTTCCATGTGCAATTTCATATCACGAAAAAACTGTATGTGCAATGTATATCATATTTTTTGATTCATTATTTGTAACAGTTGTTTGTACAAATTATAAAAAATAATTCTTAGGAATGACTCAGTGTGCTTTGATAAAGTAACGGTAGACAAATGTTGCCAGAACTCCAAGTGCAATAGGAATCAGCCATGACCTCCAAGAACCACTGCAATTACCGATCATCACATCATGATGCAGCACCGACTATTCACATATCACACATTTCAATTTTTAATAACCTTACAGCTTTGGATAGCACAAATATGACTTACCAATATACAAAGAAACAAAAGCACAAATGTGATGTTAAAGATGTATTAAGCGTAACATTACAAAAGAGTTAAGCTTTGAATTGTGCTATCCAAAAATGATAGATAATTAAAAGATACAACACCAATGCAGACAAGTTGTTAGTAGCAAAACTATATACCTGGAATAACTTTGTCAACGATTTATATACATAGTAATAATCAATAATGATGTAAAAAAGATTTTATACCTAGTACTTTCTTCGTCAATTATTCCAGTTAATCCATCAGCATTTCCCTCTGTTCTTTCACTCTAAAATTAACAAGTTATAATTTTTCAATTTGACTTCTTACATATTAACAATAATAAAAAATATATGGCATAAATGATAAATAAATATTAAATGCTATACTTACTTCTACTATTTCTCCTATTTTATATGATTCCATTATTTTCCTAGCATCGCTAGAATGACCGATATCCTCAAAGACTTCTGTTCCATCTTTACCACCTTGATCTAAAATAACTTCTTCTCCACCTGGATGCTTAAATGCAAATTATAAAAGAAATTTTATTTTGCCAAAATATTATAAAATATAGAGGAAAATATATTATATATGTATATATATGAAAACGTGATTAAAAACCTGATCTAGAAATAAAGTCACGTCGTAAACTTTGTTGTGAATAATAAGCCACAAATCGTTGCTTTCGTTATGTTTAACAACTTCTTCCCGCGTGTACAACTTGGTAGAAGCGGTATCAGCAGTAGCATTTTTCGACGCCATGATGTTTCTTTTGTAGTAAATGTTTTATAAGAAATATATGATTATTATACAAATATCGCTGAAAGGAATGAACAGTATACTGAATACAGTTGGTGCTATATGCTTTAAACTTTGTTACAACACTAATCCTTTTTAAGGAAATGAACGCTATTTACACAAGTTTTAATGAATAGCTTTTACTCCGGTATCTGCGATAGCAGCTATAGTCTAAATTTAGTGAACTGGTTAGTAGATAATACGAATCTTACGTATATCTTTGATTGCAATATGCATTATAAAAAAAATCTCCGCATAAATTTTCCTTTAATTCTATAATACTTATGTAATTTTGACACACTGTAAATTAATAGCAGTTAATGATCGATTTCATACTGCATATATAATCTATGCATCTTTTTAGTGAGAAATGTAACGTTTCTTTAATAAATAAATATTTGTAATTTAAGCATTTTATAAATAAGTATTATATATAAAATACTATGTGACATATATGTGTTAAACCTATCGCTGCGTTTGTAAGTTCATAAGTTATAAACTATAGTTTAAGGCGATGCTAGCGTGAAGACCGAACTTCAAATTCCGCGTTGGTAAAACAGTCAATGTTTCATTGAAAATTAGGCCGAACAGAAACTGATTTAAGCGCCATCTCAATGATCGCAGGTTATCAACTAACGGCATGTTATCGACTACGTCACCAGTTCATAATTAAACAATACTGACCATCCATTCATTATTATTAATTTTCTTTCCGTAAAATTGTAGTTGCAATGTGGTACACTTCACAATCTCAATGGCATAGTTCCTGAAAAAATATAATAGAGATTAAATAGCAAAAAAAAAAACATAAGCTTCGCAGCCAATTCGCTCGTATTATTTGCTGCATAATTAATAAATGTACCATAGAAATAATGATACAGTTATTAATTAGTCATCAAATAATAATGATTGCCCAGGTCTCACTACGAGGAGGTTGCTGCGGTTTGGAGACCGGCCCTACCTCATCCCATCCACCCTCCATTTATGCAAATTTTTACTTTCATTCAATAATGAATTCCTCTCGAAAATTGTTAGAAGAAAACGTAGCAAATTTCTATCAAATGAAAAGCAGAAATGCTGTGTTCTGTGGACAGAGGCGAAATCTGGCGCCTGACCAGAGTCATAAATAAAGAAATTTACGAACTTTCCAAGGTACAACGTCTCTGCTTGAAATATCTTCGCCAGGGTTGATTTCATTCTACCATTGCGTATCAAACAACTTCGTTCTTTCTAAATTCCATATTTTGTGATTTTCTTTTTATTTTATTTTTAACCGACTTCGAAAAGAAGGAGGTAATTAGTCATTTGTAATTAGTCAAAAATCATACAAGTTCCCTTTTCAGGAACTATAAAATTACTATAGTTATACGTTCTATATTGTAATATTGCAATCCCGAAAATACTTTTCTGAATTTAAACTATTGTTTCTCAATTAAAAAATATATAAATCTTTTTGTAGTAGCTCTTAGCTTGATATCGCTTTCTAAAAGTTATCTTTAGAAAACGATATCAATTACCAGGTCACACCACGTGGAGGTGGCTACGTTAGTGACCCACCCTAAAATCATAAGAACGTGAAACCATTCAAAGCAGACAACATAAAATAAAAATTTAAGCAATACAATCTTGAAATAGAAAATAAAATTAATATCCTAATATCAGAAACAATTGAGAAAATAATATTAATTTAACAATAAAATGCTGTAATGGAAAACATAATTATTAGGATTAGATATACAATAACGTGAAACCATTCAAAACAGACAACATAAAATAAAAATTTAAACAATACAATCTTGAAATAGAAAATAAAATTAACATCCTAATATCAGAAATAATTGAGAAAATAATAATAATTTAACAATAAAATGCTGTAACGGAAAACATAATTATTAGGATTAGATATATAATAACCTGAAACCATTCAAAACAGATAACGTAAAATAAAAATTTAAACAATACAATCTTGAAATAGAAAATAGAATTAACATCCTAATATCAGAAACAATTGAGAAAATAACAATTCAACAATAAAATGCTGAAATAGAAAATATAATTACCATCATAATTTCTGTAACAATTAACAAAATAATAATTGAACAATAAAATGCTGAAATAGAAAATATAATTAACATCATAGTTTCAGTAACAATTAAAAAATAATTCAACAATAAAATGCTGAAATAGAAAATATAATTAGCATCATAATTTCGATTACCATCACAATCTCAGAGTATGTTTTAAATAAATAGAACATAATTAAAATAAGAACATGAAATATAATTGATGTGCAAATCAATAAGAAAAGAATAATTTATTTCAATAAAGCAATAAACGAAAAAGAAATAGGGGAAATAAAATCGCGAGTTGACCATTCAACGAGCTGGGTATTAAACTCGTAAAATTTCGAGTTCAATACGTCCTGGACGGTATTATTCATACCGTCCAAGGAAAAACACAAAAAATGAACAATCAAATTAGCGAGCATAGTGACAGAATGACTGTCCATCCGAAGATGGAGAGCCATTAGTAGTTCCCCTCTTCTGGGCAAATTTTGCCGGGGCTTTTCAGCATATAGCCTCTTCTTTCTTCGGCAATAGCCTCACAAAAATCACTCGCGAAAATTTTACGTTTGCTCAGACATTTGTAAAAATGTAACACGTAAACGAGCAACGATCCCTTGAATCGCTACTCGCATACCTGCACAATTTTTGCAAATGTCCAAGCACAAAACACTTTTTAATTTCACTTCACTTCACTTCACTTCACTGCACTTTCACTTTAATACTTCATTTTTGTAATCGGGTCTAGTACCACGACTACGACTTACAAACTAATAAGGCTTGGCCTTGAAAAAATCAAGAGAGAATGCTAAATTAATTAATTAATCAACTAATTAATTTGCATTTTCATTTTTCCTCTCGATTTTTTAATTTCCAACCCCAGATACAAGCTTCTCACGTATTAGAGGAGAATACGAAGAGAAACATGAAAGCTTGCTCTGGCCCTGCCTACTTATAAACTAAACTCAATCACACCAGAAGTAAACTACCTGCCTGCCTATCGCTATATTTAAAAAAGGGCAAAAATCATTCTCACAAAAATTCACTCCACGGTTCTCATACAACCACCCGGGTGCAAAAATGCCTACACCTAGAGAGAACGTCCCGGGACGCCTCCGACACCCGAGTTCAATTCAACTTTCACACTCTAATAAAATCATACCTTTTTTGCTGAAATCGACTGACAAATAATAGTGAACATTATGCTAAAGTAACACATTTCATTTTCGTATTCTATTGAATTATGTAATGTAAAAATTTTTCAATTTATTCTTGATAAGTATTTTGTAATGTTATAGTAAGTTAAGATTGTTAATAAACGATACAAATCCCACATCCTAACCACACACACACATGTGGAACTTGTATCGTGGTTCACTATTGGTTCACTACTTTTGTCAGTCGCCAAAATGTATTACACTTAAAACTAAACCTTGTCCACCGCCCTCCACCCACGCGAGTACATCTAAGTACCCGAATGAGCTTTGGGCATAAAAATGAACAAGGCCAAAGGTATTTTCACCTACCAGTTTTCTTCATGTGTGCTGAAATGCCTAAGCTAAAACGTAGGATTAGCAAAAACTAAAGATGATACTCTCACTTTATTAAAAGTAAGAATATCGGCGAAATTTCGCGGCTCCGATTTAGTATATGGGCTGGCCCCCCAGGGGGGTTTATTTTTAATGAAAGTGACTCGATTTTGCAAATATTAAGCTTGAAGAGCAAATACAGAAAAGCAAAATTGAGCAACTATGACATAAAACATGGTGCACTGCTAATATCAGTTGGCAACGGAGGTTCTTAGGCCCCCTGGACTTGTGCCCGACGCTACATACCACCCACCCCGCCTGTACGTCGTAACGCCAGGACAGGATGCACCCCTTCGCTAAGAGCGCTACCCGCCCGTCCAACACGTTGCATCCAACGTGTCAGATTGACGGACGCCCATAGTATAGACAAAAGGACTGCAGTTTAGAATATGGTAACATATTTGCATATGTTCCGTATTCTAAAACTGCGCCTGCAAAGGCCTAGTAATGCATGGGTTTATCTCCCATGAGATGGTGTTTCACGGTCTTATGCCGCGGAATCCTTGTAACTAATTTGATTCAATAAATAAAATATTGGATTGAGTATAAAAACCAAAAGGATTCCCACCATATACTAGTCAGTGCATTGTCATATTTACTCTCGCGTTGGAAATTTTTCGCAACACTAATTAAAATAGAAAATCCTGATCTAAAAACATGACTAGTACATAAACATCTAACGGGCTAATATTTCACTATACTGATGAATGATGAGTGTGAATGATGAGTGTTTAGGGTCGAGAACCGTGAACGTGACAGAATGAATTTGAGGTACGAACGAAGAGCTTTCTACAATGCTTGAAGAGCAAATACTAAAAAGCAAAATAGAGTAAGTATGACGCAAAAACGGTGCACTTCTAATATCAGCTGGCAACGGAGGTTTTCGGGCCCCCTGGACTTACGCCCGACGCTACATACCACCCACCCCGCCTAGGAAAGGATGCACCCCTTCGCTAAGAGCGCTACCCGCCCGTCCAACACGTTGCATCCAACGTGTCAGATTGACGGACGCCCATAGTATAGGCAAAAGGACTGCAGTTTATTAAATGGAACATATGGATGTGCGCCACATTCTAAACTGCGCCTTGAAAGGCCTAGTAATGCATGGTTTTATCTCCCATGAGATGGTGTTCACGGTCTTTTGCCGCGGAATCCTTGTAACTAATTTGATTAATTAAATAAAACATTGAGTTTAAAAACCAAAAGGATTCCCACCGAATACTAGTAAGTGCATCGTCATAGTTACACTCGCGCTGGAAATTTTTCGCAACACTAATTAAAATAGCAAATCCTGATCTAGCAACATGACTAAAGGGGAGCTTTAAATTATGCTTGAAGAGCAAATACTGAAAAGCAAAATTGAGCAAATATGACTCAAACATGCGTCCACTGCTAATATCAGCTGGCAACGGAGGTTCTTAGGCCCCCTGGACTTGCGCCCGACGCTACATACCACCCACCCCGCCTGTTTAAGGCTCTAGGCCCAGGCAGAGTGCACCCCTTCGCTAAGAGCGCTACCCACCCATCGAACACGTTGCATCCAACGTGTTCGAGTGGTGGACGCCCATAGTATAGGCAAAAGGACTTTAAGACAGCTTAGCGTATGGGATGCAACATACTTAAATGTTCCGTACTCTATGGCTGTGCCTGAAAAGGCCTAGTAATGCATGGTTTTATCTCCCATGAGGTGGTGTTCACGGTCTTAGGCCGCGGAATCCTTGTAACTAATTTTATCAAATAAAAACCAAAAGGATTCCCACCGAATACTAGTCAGTGTATAGTCATATTTACTCTCGCGCCGGAAATTTTTCGCAACACTACTTAAACTTGAAAATTATAACAGGGTAATATTTACCCTCGCGTTGAAAATTTTTCGCAACACTACTTAAACTTGAAAATTCTAACGGGGTAATATTTACTCTCTCGTTTAAAATTTTTCGCAACACTACTTAAACATGAAAATCCTAACGGGGTAATATTTATTCTCGCGTTGAAAATTTTTCGCAACACTACTATAACTTGAAAATCCTAACGGGGTAATATTTCACTACACAAGGGTATGCGGGTGGATAAATGATTATGTGATAGAGTTCGTGAGGCTGAAGTGCGAATGATGAGTGTTTAGGGTCGAGAACCGTGAACGTGACAGAATGAATTTCAAGTACGAAAGAAGACCTATATAGAATGCTTGAAGAGCAAATACTGAAAAGCAAAATAGAGCAACTATGACGCAAAAATGGTGCACTTCTAATATCAGCTGGCAACGGAGGTTTTCGGGCCCCCTGGACTTACGCCCGACGCTACATACCACCCACCCCGCCTAGAACAGGGTGCACCCCTTCGCTAAGAGCGCTACCCGCCCGTCCAACACGTTGCATCCAACGTGTCAGATTGACGGACGCCCATAGTATAGACAAAAGGACTGCAGTTTATTAAATGGAACATATGGATGTGCGCCACATTCTAAACTGCGCCTTGAAAGGCCTAGTAATGCATGGGTATATCTCCCAGAGATGGTGTTCACGGTCTTATGCCGCGGAATCCTTGTAACTACTTTGATTAATTAAATAAAACATTGAGTTTAAAAACCAAAAGGATTCCCACCGAATACTAGTAAGTGCATCGTCATAGTTACACTCGCGCTGGAAATTTTTCGCAACACTAATTAAAATAGCAAATCCTGATCTAGCAACATGACTAAAGGGGAGCTTTAAATTATGCTTGAAGAGCAAATATTGAAAAACAAAATAGAGCAAATATGACTCAACATTCGTCCACTGCTAATATCAGCTGGCAACGGAGGTTCTTAGGCCCCCTGGACTTGCGCCCGACGCTACACACCACCCACCCCGCCTGTTTAAGGCTCTAGGCCCAGGCAGGGTGCACCCCTTCGCTAAGAGCGCTACCCACCCCTCGAACACGTTGCATCCAACATGTTCGAGTGGTGGACGCCCATAGTATAGGCAAAAGGACTTTAAGACAGCTTAGCGTATGGGATGCAACATACTTAAATGTTCCGTACTCTATGGCTGTGCCTGAAAAGGCCTAGTAATGCATGGTTTTATCTCCCATGAGGTGGTGTTCACGGTCTTATGCCGCGGAATCCTTGTAACTAATTTTATCAAATAAAAACCAAAAGGATTCCCACCGAATACTAGTCAGTGTATAGTCATATTTACTCTCGCGCCGGAAATTTTTCGCAACACTACTTAAACTTGAAAATTCTAACAGGGTAATATTTACCCTCGCGTTGAAAATTTTTCGCAACACTACTTAAACATGAAAATCCTAACGGGGTAATATTTATTCTCGCGTTGAAAATTTTTCGCAACACTACTATAACTTGAAAATCCTAACGGGGTAATATTTCACTACACAAGCGTATGCGGGTGGATAAATGATTATGTGATAGAGTTCGTGAGGCTGAAGTGCGAATGATGAGTGTTTAGGGTCGAGAACCGTGAACGTGACAGAATGAATTTCAAGTTCGAAAGGGAACTTTATACAATGCTTGAAGAGCAAATACTGACCCCCCTGGGGGCCAGCCCATATACTAAACTAATGCCAATTTCACGAGTAAAATCAGAAAAACGTTTCAATTTCAAGAGCGTTTTCGTTATCAAAGTAAGTAGTTATAATAATTAATTGTATTCATGCTTATTACTTTGATATTGAAATCTGCTCATCGCGAAATAAATTCTTGTACATATAAAAAAGAAAGTGTATTGTGAAGTCGGAGGGTCATCCGACTTCTCTACATTTTTAAACTCGAAATCTATATATGTATATATGTACAAGAAAACCCTATCCTGAGCTAAGGCATAAAATACACAAAAAAGCAATTTGCACGATTATCATTGTATAAAATAATACAGTGATATTCGTGGGTCACTATGCTCGCTCAAAAAATAAAAATTACAACCAATTCCCGTGTCGCTACGGACCATTCGTCCTACGACATGATGGGAACCGGAGGAACTTTAAAGCATGCGACTCACCGATCGTTGACTTGCACCACTGCACTCGGCACGCATCTTAGATTAATCCATAGCTCGACTGTTGGCTCGTCAAAGAAACGGTACCTCCACTGGCCAAAGCACTCATCTGAAAGCACAAAAATCACGATTCTTGAACGATATACGTTTTCTCTCTATTTGTTGTAATTAATATGCTAATACATAGGATAATTCAAAAATATGCATGCAAAACTATATGGGAATAACTACACTATAAAACACGGTAAAACACATGCAAATACATCCCAAAACATATGAAGATCAAAACCATAGAACACTATAAAATATTTGCAAATTTATAGTAAAACACATAGGGTACCACTCCATAAAACCTACTAATAAATCCGTATAAATATGCCAAAACACAAAGGGTACTACTGCATAAAACCCACTAATAAATCCGTATAAACATGCCAAAACACATAGGGTACCACTCTATAAAACCCACTAATAACTCCGTAAATATATGCCAAATCACATAGGAAACCACACCATAAAACACAATAAAGCACATGCAGGTACATGGTGTATCACACCACACAGCACACTAATGCATTTGTATAAAAATGTCAGAACACATGGGTGACCACACCATAAGACGCACTAATATATCCGTACAAATATTCCAAAACACATGGGAAACACTATAGGAAACACCATAGGCGCACACAGTAACACTTGAGGTAACACACTAATAAATCCATGGTGTCAACCCGTACCGGTATATATTTGACAGCTCGATCCGTATCCTTTGGCGGTCGCGATAAGACTGATTAGATTTGTCCTCTCTCTAGGTCGCGCTTGTACTGGCGCGCTGCGCGCGCAATCAAGCAAGACGTTCCGCTTCACCGGTTCCGCGGCCGGCTATATTTAACTATCTGATATTTGTTAATATTTGTTTAATTATTATTTTATATTTTACAATTGTTTATTAATCAAATTATTGTTATATCTATTTAAATTGTTTATTTCTTTAATTTTCGCGTGGGTATATTGCAAAATTTTGTTTGATTATTCTATCAAATTTATTTAATTACTATTTATAATTTTACAATTGTTTGTTAATTAAATTATTGTTATATCTATTGAAATTTATTATTTTTATAACTTTTATACACGGATATCCAGTAAATTTGTTTGAATTATTTAATTTTTATACAATATTAAGAAGTGATTATTGTGTTTTAATATAAATTTGATTTTTATCAAATAGTTATTGAACGTTATACAATAATAACAGTTACAAGTACTCTTCGATTGTTTAATTAATTTATTGCTTTTCTAAAATGATTTATTTTCCAAAGTATAATTGAAGTTAAATTTGTTAAACTATTATTTTAATGATTTTTCGGCCTTGTGCTAGTTCTCATTTATTTTTCCTTTTTACTTATAGTTCCTCACTGCAATGTAATATATTGTAGCATAAACACATTTTAATTAATTAAAAGTACATTGAATTTTCTACGTTTCAACCAGAATTTGCGTTTAAATTTTGTCAAGTACAATGCAACAGCTATTTCTTTTATATTCAGAATAGAATACAGAATTAGCAAAAAGCGCTCTCTCGTTTTCATCGGCCAGCCCTATATCGACGGGTATTACCATTTATGTGCAGAAAAATCTGCTGTAATACCGACGTGCCGTGTCTACCCCCTTAAAACCGCACAATATGACGGTGGAGTTGAAATGTTGAATATTTTTTAGAATGTAGTGTTTACATCCACGATGTTTTAGTTATAAAAATAGAATTCAACAGTTGAGCGTGAATTCGTGTTATGATACAAATGTTTCATACATTATTTAATATTTGGTAATGGAATCTTATCAAGTATCATTCAATTAGGAAACATTTTAATATTAATAAAAGATGAATTTTGTCAACTGTTCATTGTTATGTATATTAATTAGTATTTTGATGGTTTGTGTAAAATGCGAATTTTCCTTCACTTCAATTTATTCAACCATCCTTAATAAAGCTACAATCATACCAAGCTACCTACTATGTACATTTACAGAATGTTGTAACAATGAATATATTTCTCCTGATCTTGATAGTAAGTATAGCAATGAAAGAGTACACTGCAAATTGCTTATAAAAAGGTTTAGATACATAGATAACTAATTGCATGTATATGTTTATGTTAGCATTAGATGATATTCTTTATAAAGAACTCTATGGGCAAGAAATTGCTCATCATGTGGTTGTAAATGCTTTACGTGGGCATTTAACCTCCTCTGATCCTCCAAAGGCTTTGACTATGAGTTTTCATGGCCCACCAGGAACTGGTAAAACTTTCACAACTCAAATGATTGCCAAATTTCTTTATAAAAAAGGTGATCATAGTGCATTTTATCATTTTTTTAATGGTCGTAATGATTTTCCTTTGGAAGGAAATGTGGAACAATATAAGGTATGTTCATTTGTATTATGAAATTAAGTTAAATATATATGTATGTTTACACTTAGATTGTTCAATAAAGTGATACTTTTACTATGCAGGAAGAATTACGGAAAATTATCATTAATAGTTTAGAAAAATGTGAAAGATCAATGTTTGTATTTGATGAAGTGGATAAAATGCCAGAGGGCCTGTTAAATGTTCTTGTACCATTTCTGGACTATAATACATTGATCAAATCATGGAGACTTACAAGCAGTTCAATAAATACAAGAAAAGCAATTTACATATTTTTATCTAATACAGGTAGTTCACGAATTGCACAGCGATTATTAACTCTTTGGGAAGAAGGAAAACACAGAAGTGAAACTAAACTTCAAGATTTTGAAAATTTGATAAGTGTTGGAGCATTTAATGAAAAGGGAGGTTTCTATCACAGTGATACAATAGACTCTAGTGTTATAGACCATTATGTGCCTTTTTTACCGCTCGAAGAGAACCATGTAAAGAAATGTTTAAAAAAAGCATTTATAGAAAGAGGTGTAACTCCTACTAATGAAATGATAGAGGAAGGATTGTCGTATGTAATTTTTGGACCTCCTTCACATAATCTGTATGCAACAGCTGGCTGTAAGAGGCTAGAACAGAAAGTTGCCGCTATTATATACGCTAAAAGAAAAGATCGACTTGAATTTTGAATGTTGTTAAAATCAAAGAAAAGATTATTAAATTCCACAAGCAACGCGTCTTTTTTATGTTAACGTTTCAATAAGATCTAAATTTTATTAATTACTCTTATTGGCACAATCAGAAAATATGTGTAACAGTTAAAAAAATAGTATAATTAATTTGTTATAATAATGCGTGTAGCGATTGTTTATATATTTATGTACGTATACGCTTATATTTAAGAAGTAGCTAAAATTTTTTTATCTTCAACATTACAGAATTACAGTATATACAATTGAGGCTTGGCAATTGACTTTAAAATATAGTCGTAAAGAGAGAAGTTGTCTAAAAGTATAAACATTTGGCAATATGTTTTCTCTACATAATCCTAACATACAAAGATAGACAACTTTAATCTTTATGACGTTCTTCTAACTTTATTAGTTATCTCATGTCGTACCGAAAAATAATTGTGATTCTATAGTCTATACAAGTACCTAAATGTATTCGTTTTTATACGCTCAGTTCACGTTCGCGAATATGTATTTCCTATTTTTATAATTGTAATATAACACAACCTCAAGCAAAGAGAACAGTAAAATAAACTGTGTTTTTTATGATATTAATGTAAGTTGATTTCTTTTCCGGTCTCTATAGAGGAGTGTTTTAATAAATCTGCACGATGATACGTACACATAGAACGTTCTTAATGGGTGTGCAATCGCGTATCGAGGAAGTACCTAGATAACATAATTTATGATTATTCTTCCTCAACATATTCTTTTGGAAAAAATCCTACTTGATCTCCTATCTTTCCTTTCCACCATCCTTTGGCATCACCTTCCTTACTCAATACCACAACCCTACAACCTCGTCGTAGACTTAATTCATTCCGTTCACCACCACGAAAATCAAATAATGCTTTAGCTAACACACGTCTATACGGCCATAATAAGCGCTGATCTAATTTCTCAAAATTTTCCGACAACGAAGCTCGTTCGTAATACTCGACAAGTTCGACTACACTTTTGAAGAAACGAGATTCGCTGAGATAATATAAATCAGCACCATCGACGTCGCGTTTAAATATCCTTATATGTTTCACCGCTCCATCTGCCCTGTAATATTAATTAAATATTTTTACGGTAGATATTTCAAAAAATATTACAATTAAATGTACTTATGTTACATTCAGCTCTTACTTGATACTAAGTGCGTAATTAGTTTCATGTTTTAAACGTGGTTGTCCTGCAGGCCGTACTCGTAACATGTATGTACCATCTTCGCGAGGTTCTAGTTTATTTGAGGCTGTATCTCGTCCCATTTCTCCGACAAACCATAATTTTACCGAAAGAGCACGCTCGCATGGTAGAGGTGGAGGAGGTGGAGGTGGAGGCGGTGCTGGCATACACCTACCTGAATGTGCAATACATTGTTTGTGCACAGCTATTCGACAAACGTCACATCGGTATCCCTGTTTGTATAAAAAAAACTCCATTAAAAGCTTGTATCATAATTTTGAATACACCTACGTCGATGACAGAATACCTGAAATATGCGGCCTTTCAGAAACTTGTCACACTGATGACAAGTACGCGGAGAATCAAATGTCGTAAGTTTAAACTTATGGTTTGTATTGCGGCACGCAGCCGGATTGACATTATCCATTGTGTTTTGTAATGCCTTAATCCAAGTTTGTTTCTGTTCTTCTGTTTTGGCGAACAACGTGTACGCTGTATATTCTTGTTTGTGCACGAGCAACCATTGATACGACCATCGAGAATCTTTACCAAGCGTTCGTCTACATGTATGATCTTCCAATCGATAATCATCTAAACGTAATGTTTCACGGTAACAGTATTGTTCTCCTCTACCTGCTTTACAGATTAATATTACTTGTTCGAAAGCAAATACATATCGGGCTTTTACTCGTTGGTCACCGTGAGCTTTTACCTAAAATTCGATTATAAGATTTTACTAATGTTTAATTTCAAGATATATCTATCAAGAAAACAATATACCTTAAGCTCTCCATCTAAAAGTAATCGGCCAAAATCTTTTAATTGTGCATCTTCTTGAACGTCCCAATCAATTATCGACGCTTGAACATCTTTTATAATGTCTAATGTGTCAGAGTCACGTTTTACTTCATTAATATATTGAGCTATATCAACCATTACTTCTCTAGCTTTTCCAAGCTGACGCCTATCTTCTACCCAATCGCAAGGAGTTTCTTCTACTAATTTATCTAATAATAAATGGTATTTCAATACTCTTTGCATCGGGACTGATAATATGTCCCGTAGTTTGAATTTACCATTATTTGCTTCTTGTTGACACCTCTGCAAATTTAGATTTTTGTTTATGAAAATAATAGATAAAATGTAATATGCAAGTGTTTTAAAACTTACAATAACTTCCTGATTAACTGATTCATTACGTGCACAGGCTTCCTGTAATGTATTTTGAGCAAGCGTAAGATTCGCGCAATAATTGCCATAAATAAGAAACTTTTGTCGCCAATCGAGGAAAACCTGTGCTAAAGCGGTACCGGTTCTCGCTTTTCGAAGTTGGCTATGAAAACCTGCATGAATTTCTGCAAGTTCTTTTATACCAAAAAATATGCGTGCTGTATCTTCTGGTCGTAATAACATAGAAAGAGGTCTAACGAAATGTTTAAGCAAACTGTTAAGAACGTCTGAATAATTGCGTTCCGTTTCAACAAGTTCTTGAATCACATAGTCCCTTTTTTCACCTCCACAAATTGCGCCGTCCTACATTATACAAATATCAGTTTAAAATTTATTCGTTTACACCAAATTATACACAGTACAAAATACTACGAAGCATAACGAGACCAATTATCAGTATTGTGATGAGATAAATAAATAAAGAACAAAAATATAACGACCTGCACAACAGATGGAGCAGGTGGCAAGTGTAGACTACAAAGGTCCTGGTAGATTTCTTCGCTTTGAGCATGGCTGCAATATGCTCCATATCCATCTTCCTCTTCAACTGGATCTTCATGGTCTCCTCCTCCACCTGCTTCATCTCCCTCCCGCCTTTTAAATCTTCTGCGACGACCTTCATCCTCACGACTTTAGCATAAAAATATGAACAGCCATGCACTATTCATGCATGAAAAAAATATAATTTCTGGCAAACTTAAACTATTTGTGGCAACGGTAGATCTCGTTATCAATAATAAACATAGCTTAATACATAAACTTCTGGAGCAAATACAGTAAATAAATTTTAAATAGTGCCAGTATCACTGTACTATGTTAATTTTGCGTCCGATATTAGTAGGAACCTTTCGTTTATATTTCATATAATGTATCATTATTTCTTTGAATAATGGAATACAGTGATGTTTGGTACTTTTATTACAACATCTTTAAACTTTTAACTTGCAAACGACAGATACCTTCTCCGTGGAAGGCCAATCGCGCTGAGAATTACTTGAGAAACAGAGTAATTCCTGATATACTTGGGACTCATCTACATCCATACCCTTAGGTTTTATGGTAAATGTTCCCACTGCTGTTGTGGGGCTGAATACATTGATAGCAGTTGTTATCAACTTTGATAGTAATTTTATAAATTTTTTATCTTTAATTTACTTTAAGTTATAAATACATCTATAAATAATAAAGTTGCATTGTAAATTAGATGCTTACCCTGCACCAGCACTTTGTAAACCCTTATAAATATCTTCCTGTGACCTACCATGACCTACAGAAAAACCACTGTAACACAAGTATGTTTATGAGAATGGGTTAATACAACTTGTGTGTAAAAAATTACACAATATTAAATTACTTACAGAATACCCTTGCGTCTTAAACGGGAACAATTTGATAAAGCTGATAAAGTACATAATACACGATGAAAATTTGATAGATCAAACAACATAGAAGGTTCAAAAAGGTCAGAATCAGATAATCCAAAAGTGGTTGAGCACGCGGATAAAAATACTTTTATGTTTCTTAAACACAAAAATTGTGCCATTTGTGGTTTTTGATTCACATCTTTCATATCTATACAACCGGTATCAACTGTATTTAGAAGATTGCATAGTAATACACCATCTCTTAATGTATAAGCTAAATCAACTGCAGTTGCTTTTGGCCAATTTGCTTTGTGATCAGCTCTTAAAGCTCCGCATCTTGTCAACCATTTGGCACATTCGTGCCAACTTTCGTTGTCTGAATTGCTATCTATTCTGTTCATTTTGGTTTGTTTATTTGTTTAAATGTAAAAAATTTTAAAGTTTACAATAGGAATTCCTTTAATATATAATGCATTAGGCCATTAAGTTTTCATAGATGCATTTTGTTATGCTTGAGATCTGAAAAAAATAGAAAAATATAATTAAAGATAGCAATTGGTGATGATTTACATATGTTTAATCATAATAACTTGCACAAATATATTGTACCAAATGAGAAAAATAAAATGAAATCATAGCTAAGAGTAGTTTCAACAGATAAAATTATCAGACTTGTATTAGGATAAAAAGTTATGATTATACATATATAATTAAAGTAAATAATGTTTTTGAAAACATACTTTCATTCGTAAAATAATTTATAAGTTGTTTCTTCGTTCTTCTGTTAGTGTTAAGAATATTCTGTAACAAGTTCTACCAAAGAACTCATTATTGTGTTCCGTGTCGGTTCTTAAAAATATCTCAACGAAATACGTAACGCCGCTTGAAATGGTTTGTTGGCAGTGTCATTGGTAAAAAAACATCTTATTGAACTACGACTTTAATACGCGGCTATTACTTTGCACGATATGCCTTGTTTTCTCATTGTAATATTATGACGTTCAGCCTACATTGGCTTACAGTCGCCATATTGCTGCTTCGCCGCAGTCGATCATATCATAAATCTCGTTGCAATATTTAATTCAGGCGTTCCATCACAGATGGGGATAAATGTTTGTGCAAGTGGCAAATATTAATGATAGATTCTAATAAGAATTACCTAATAAGGTTTTCGTTAATCTTGTTTTATGAATAAACTTCTGAAACATTTTCATTTTGATTTATACGCATTCATAAGATGCGTGATAATACTTATCACGCATAACACAAAGACTTTAATTGTAATTTCTACAGATGTTAACATATAAATGTGTATTATATAATAAATATTAATGAGTAAAGCGTTATTATGAGTATAAAATTATGAGTAAGCGTTATTTAAAATAAAATGTTAACCAATCGGATGGATATACTGTGTGACGCAAGGTCAGGTTTCATTTGCTTTGATGCATCACTATGGTCACGTCAGTGTTCACGCAGTATGTCGACTGTAATGACAGAAGCATTATTAGTTAAGCAGTTATTGAGTTACTTTGTACTTTATTTGTGATATATTTTGGTACGTATATCCGTATATATTCATAGATAATTTATTAAGTTTGAGTAGGTTAAACTTAATACACGCGCACATGTGCCGCATACAGTACCCAACAAAGGAATTACAAATGTCACATCTTTTATGACAATAGAATGTCATTAAGTTTAGACAAACACTTTTTTTTTTTAACCAGATGGTGTATTTAAATTCAATTGTTTCAGTACACTACTATGCGTGTTTTATTCTACACAGTATTTCTGTTAGTCGTGTGTAACGCTATATGTAGCAAAGTTTACGACAAATTACAATGTAAAGACGAAAATAATCTACCAGTAGACTGGTAAGCCTTTACACATAATTATTAAATTTTAATTACTGTCAATGAATTTAAGATAATGTTATTTTAGGTACGTGATGTATAAGTTACCGAAAGTATCGGAGAGCAGTAATCCTTTAATTAGGGATGGCTTTGCTTATCTATACATTACAAACGTAACTATCGCAACCGGTTGGCGATTGTCCACTAGGCCCATCGGTTCAAACAATTCTATCCCTGGAATCACATTAGCGCCAATTTATAACGACGTAAGACTGTGTAGAACATTACTCACAATTAGCGCAGATTCATAGTAACTGCAAGGTATTAGAGCGTAATTTAATTATAAGTCACTGCCGACGCGTTGAACAAATTTTCCATCGTGATACAGAGTATCAATTCGAAATTTACCAAAATATTTGGCTAATTCTCAATCATACTCAATCATTCGCAGATGAAACGAATAAGCACTGACGTTTCATAAAAAAATTGGAAAGAATAATCCCTATTATCAACTTCCGCCTTATTGTGGCACACTTATCTTTTAATATCAAAAAAGTCACGTCGAAGCGTTTTTCGATACCCCAGTTAGATTTCAGTATTTCGATCGATTGATTGCTAAATTATTGATAAATATCAATTGGTTTTTAACAATGATTACCGGTATCAAAAAATCTAATAGCCTTCCAGTCAATAAGGTTTTGAGATACTTAAGGCATTTTAATTCATTACACACACAGGCGAATGAAAACAGCAGTTTATGGACTCTATATAACGACAGTCCACCGGATGCACCATACGTTTCGAATTATGGTCACACGAAGGGTGTAGTAGCTGTTAATAGCCATCAGGGTTTTTGGTTAATTCATAGCGTTCCCAGTTTTCCTCCAGTTCCCAATACCGGTATACAAACTCGACCACAAAACAAGGAAAATATAACTAATACAGGTACATACAGTTATCCAGAAAGCGGAACATTTTATGGTCAGAGCTTTCTCTGTATCTCCTTGGACGGTGATCAGATGGACATCGTCGGGAAACAATTAAGGTACAACGAGATAGCAGTGTACGCGAAAAATATCCCTGACAAGCTTGGAGAACAGTATCCTGTTCTAAAAAATGCGAGTGATCAGAAACACGTAAAGTCACCTCCTTACACCAGCAAAGTTATCGTGAAATCTGTGGGCAATACAGAGTTTACTTCATTTGCCAAATGCGAGAAATGGCTGAAAGGTGACTATTATGAATTGCATAAAACTTGGTCTCATTATCTTGTACAGTGTATGTTACACCGTGATGAATTTTAGATATATACGAGGATTTTATAGCACCAAAGTTACAGGCGAATTTATACGTTCAGTCGTGGTTGAACGGACGAGGGAAGCTGCCGTCTAATTGCACTCGTAGAAAGTAAAATTAACTTTGAATCTCTATTGTACGATTTTTGTTTTATTTATCACGCGAACGTGTTAATTTAGCAGGGTTTACAATGTGAACAGTTTGGAATTGGAGGCAGCTAATGTAGATTTTACGAGCAGTCGGGACCATTCTAAATGGGCCATTACGGTTAAAAATAAAACAAACCACCACTGGGTTTGCATCGGCGACATTAACAGAGCTGTAAATATTTTTGATTCGACCGAAATGAATTTTGATTAGCACGGGATACTAAAAGATATTTATTTTTTTTATTTTTAGGATACACAATTCACACGAGGTGGTGGAGCCGTGTGCTTCAAAGAAGCCCGATTGTGGAATAATTATCGTGATGCTATCAATGACTTCGAGCCATGCCCTCGCACGTAATGTGATATTTCTATGCAGAAACTCATACTGAGTTTTAAAAGCTTGTATAATGAATAATAATTGCTAGCTACAGTATGTTGTGCATACTTTGCATAGAAGACAAATTGCATTATTAAAGTTCAAGCTACAGTTCACTGTAGTACAACTTTTTGATACAATAAAAATTTAGTTTAAATATTTATTCGATGCCTATTTAATAGAACAACCCTAAACCTGAAAATTGATCCCGTTGCTAACGTTTACTGGTGTGTCTGAAGCACCAGTGAAACGGAGATAACGAAGAATAATGTGTTGAAGTTTTAAATACATTTACATTATTGATTGGTATGCAAGAGTGTTCTATTGCGAGCTAACAATGTTTTAATCGAATTTATATTATCCGAACAGCCGGATGTTCCCGTCAATATACATCATAAACTTCTGCAACGCCGTAGCTAGTATACAAAGTATAATAACCGTCATATTAACTGCAGTTTACTTGCAAGTGTATAAAGAAGAGAGGTCTAGCTTGCTCTTTATTACCGTGGAATAAGGACGGACGACGGGGATCAGAAGCAGTTCTTAAATTGGATTTTATGAAAGGCAGTAGCGACTCTTGCTGCACCGACTCTCCTCCCGTCTTCCTTTTTCTCAACCGTGCTTATTGTCTATCTAAGGAAATTGCAGAGTAGCTCGACGTGCCGTTAATGAAAGAGAAAGAATTAAAAAAGGAAAAAAAAAAAAGAAAAGTAGGTATCCGAGGTTTAGTAAACGGAAGGAGAGTGGAACGATTTACTCTTTAATGAAAATTCCAAGAAATCGACTGAACTTCGGCTCGCTCTTTAGTGTCCGTTTTTAAACTCCTCCATCTCTTTTGATAGTCTTCGTTTCAAACATCTCTTCCCTTTCAGATGAAGGAAACTTGTCTAAATAGTTGTTTTCGAGATTAATTACTGACTTATATTATTTATCTTCGAAAGATTAGAATCCGAAAAAGCGCTTTTTCTTGAAATATACAGGGTGTCCCAGAAAGAGTGTAAGCAGTTTAAGGGGGTAATAGCTGGGGTGATTCTGAATAATATTTTCCTTTGCGAAAATGTTGTTTAAAGCTCTGTTTTTGAATTATTAAGAAAAAACGCGTATAGCGCGCGGGCTCAAGGACGACTTAGAATCACCCCAGCTACCACCACCTTAAAGGGCTTACACTCTTTCTGGGACACCCTGTAGATGGAAGTGTTCACAAGTAATATTTTACAATTTTTATACACTCATCATCAACTGTTCTGTGAAATGTAATTTCAGATTATTGTTTAAACGAGCCTTGTGGGGTTCATGACCCGCTCTGCCGTTCCCAAGTTTACACTTATACCGGCGGCGTTAAAGGGTGCAATTGCGCTAATAAATCCACTCCCCAGCAGCCACCCCCAACCAAATGGCATTGGGTTCGTTATTTCACATTGGGCCCAACACTTGACTGCATTGTCGGCGTGTAAGGAATTTTGGTCTAGGGACGAAAAAACTATTCTGAGTGGATTAGCAACTACACCCACCAGGCGTTTTACGCCCACTAAATGCAATTTCATCTAAAAAGCGCTGGTCCAGGGTCGTAACATCTCCTTGTCAGATACAGGTAACGCGAACCATGGTTGACACGACCTCGTCAATCGCCAGAGAAACGTTTCGAGGCAAGGGTAAAACGAGCAAAGAGAAGAGTGATAAAGAGGTTTGAACGAAAAGGTCGATAGACGGAAGGGTGGAAAGGGTTGAAAATTCGCGGGTGTTCATCGAGGCGCGAATAAACCGGCGCATGCTGCCAGAAGACAAAACAACGGGGAAAACAAGAAACGAGAGAGTTCAGTAAAACATCTGGAAGCGGATGCTTGGAAAAACAAGCTGGCTGCTGGTGAAAGGGGATTAAGAGAAGGAACGCATAGCAGGGATTCCTTTAATACGAAACTGGCAGCTGGCAACATTCGGTCAATTTCTTGGAGTACATACCATTGTATATACCTCTATCTGTGTATATCTATGTATATAGATATCCAACCATTTCCGCGATTCAGGCAAATGAATACCAATATTTCTACTTTCAATACTTCGATGACTTTCTATACGGGTTTCTTATTATATTTATGCGATGCCTAGATCTATACGTTTCGGTATCTCGAATCGTATTTCCTGTGTCTGTAATCTTCGAATGCAGGACCGGGGAAAATGATAGTCGGGTTACTTTTCATTCATACTAAGCTTTTTAAATTCTATTATTTCTAATAACAGGAGAAGAACGGAACTCGAGGAAGCCGGTAAAATCCTAAGACTAGAATATGCATTACCTTATCCCTAGTAAATTTTGAATGAGCGAGTTCGATGGAGCGCAGATTTTCCTCGAAGCACTGAGGAAAAGCGGCTGAAATTTGGACGACTGGAAAGACGAGGAGACGAAAGCTGGCTGTTCCGAGCGATATTTCAGCATTAAAGGCGACCTGTTCTGCATACTAAAATCCAGTGCACCGTCCAAATATACGCGTAACGTTATATGCATGCAACCATCGTGTGTCGGGTGCTTCGCGTGTGTACTTAAGCATACGGGGAGGGTGCATGCGCGAGCTTCCGTTCCATCCTTTTTCAACCGATTCCTAACATCCTGCCGCCTTTACCACCTACGTTTCAGTCTATAGTTTATACACTATGCTATGTATCGTACTGAATAGCCCTACGTGAACTTTAATATTACCTTATACCTATTCATATCGTGTGCGGGAGGAAAATCGTGGCGGTTCGTTTTAGGTGGAAATGAGGCTATGTAGGCTTTCACCGACTTAACCGGATATCAGTCTTGAAACTTTCCCTGCGAATGCGATAGTCGGTCGCATCCTGCCGGAATTGAGCGATCCACGTAATCACTATTGGCTAACGCGTTCTTTCATCAAGTACAATTCTAAATTGAATCATTTATAACATATTGTATGTAAAACGCTTCGTACTATGAGTCATTCTATATAAGTGTTGATGTTAAAAAGATAAAAAAAAAAAAGAAGGGAGAAAAGAACATAGCAATGAATACTTTGGGCGACGAGGTAAAGACAAAGAGAGGATGCAAGTCGAAAAAAGGAGAGAATGCCTCTCGTGCCAGAGATAGAGATGCCAGGCAGCCGAGAGCTGCTTAGCCTGGAATTCCGTTGATGGATGGAATTCACTTCGTCCCGACGAGTAAGTATAATAGAAGTGAAGTTGGGCCTCGCGGTGCCTACTGTTGCTGAATAGAAGCTTCGTTAGGCTTTGTCTAAGCGGAGTGCTTGCAGCTTTACCCTCCCCTGCCATCCGCAATTTCCACTACCACGCAACCCTCGCCCTTATCCTTCCAGTTTCTACCTACTTGAATTATTCTCTGTTGCGTTTGTACAAGAGCGGACCACCTCGCTACGCTTACAGCTTACAGCCTCTGCATCATCGTTCGCGAGCCTCTGCTTTACTACCCCCTTTCACCTACCATCCACCCCATTTTTCTTTTTCTCTCTATTTCATAAACCGACTAAAGTTAAATTTAAACAGGCGACAGATGAAATTAATAGGTCTAGGCTCTAGATTCTAGACAATGGTCTTATCTTTTAGCAGAGGTATTTTCGCAAAGGGTAGAAAGGCAGATAACGATTTAACTTTCTTGTAATTTACGACTAAGTCGAGGGTTCGATCGAGACCTTGACAGAAGGAAGGCGAACGAATGGTTTAGCTAGAATAACGATGGTTATCGGGTGGCCATGAACTGATCGAGATGGCGAACGAAAGATAAAAAATGAAATTACCATTGCCGTTCCATTTTCTTCGAAGACAATGCAACGCGTGCGTAATAAGTCGACGGTTATGAGTCAGCGACACTTCCGTTAGCTGATAAGTTCCATATAAGTACCGGAAGCTCCGGGTTGGAACTACGACGGTGATGCATTCGAGTTCGGTTACACCGAGACAGTTGTTCAGGGTAGTTTCCCGGTGATGTTGCAACTAGAGAGAACCACCCTGATAGTTTCTACCACCTTAATGCAGTTCCTTGTACGGCAGCAATGCACTCCCGCAACAACAAAGCTTTCTGCGTCTTCGATTGTTGTACACTTATTATATATTTATCTGTAACGGCCTTGTTACTTCTCTTTCCTTTCATCCAACTACCCCCATTCGCATCAAATTTCTGCGTTAATGCATCGACTGCCATTTGCACTATGAATATAATTTAGCGAAACACTGTTACTTTTGTAGTAATAAACGTGTTGTTGATTTCTAAGTAACGAGGTCGAAGTCTCATTGTTTCCTTTGATTCTGTTGGAAAAATATTATTCGGTTTGTGCAAATATGAATCTTGAGAGGCACTGCTCACTAAACAAAAGATCTATGAGTAAGAAGGATTCATTCCTTGTCCTTAAAAATAAAATATCTAGAATAGACTGAGTTTCTTAATATAATCCCATATTCCATTAGATCCTAGTTTCCTTTCGCAGAAATGAGGACAAAGTCGTGCGTTTGACGTAGATTGAACTTTGAATCTACTTTAATCGCATTTTCCAGGTATTTTTACTTATTTTGTCTTTCCTTTCTTCTGGCATCGTTCTTTTTTCTTACACGACTCCAGACTTATCGACAGCCGGGGATATGTTGGCGCGAATCTGTGGCTGGGATAAGCGCGTCTCCGACGTAATAAAACTCCCGGAGGGAAGGCTGCAACGTTAGTCCGGAACTTTCCTTACGAAGAAGAAGAACAAGAAGAAGAATCAATCCGGTAACGTCGACCAGGCTACGTACAGTTCCGCCCCGCGGACCGTAACAAACTTTAGTTTTCATTACAAAAGCCTCCTTTCTTTTTATTTCTTTTTTATTCTTCTCCGCTACTGTTTCCCAGCAGAACTTGCGTAAAACAGTCGAACAATGAACAATAAAAGAGATAAGGATACCGGTTTTTAATCAACAAACACGTTCCTCGAAAATATGAACCCTTCCAGGGTGCTTTAAAAGAAAAAAAAGAAAAAGGGAAACGTTTCTCGTGGTTGCTTCGTGACCGTAGAAATTCGAATGATCGCGAAAGAAATGTTCGCAGATGTTCGATGTATCCTGTATGCCCGTATCGCAGAATTTCAGTGGACAGAAGGAAAGAGAAAAGTCATAAACACCGAGATACAGGCAAGTCACGAAACTGAAACGTTGACTTTCTTGCTG